GGCAGTGCCAGAGCTTTGCTGGGCACTGAAATAATGGTGGTGGCAAAGGTTTTCCACATTTTCAGAGAGCGAGTGATTGGACAGTTCTCTCATCCACAGCCTGCCACCCAGGACTCCTGGCATGCATATCATTCCTTGCTCAAATGTTTGGTTTTAATCCTGGAGAGTTTCTCCTCTGTTTTTTTTGTTTGTTTGTTTGTTTGTTTGGGTTTTTTTTTTTTGATTGCAGGGAAGAGGGTGTTTTTTGTTTCAGAAAACAAAACGGTAAAATACAGAGTAATAAAATAAACACGCACACAGTGATCACAACAGTCTTGTGGATTTAGCGGTCATGACAGCTGTTGGCGTGGAGAAGAAAGTGAAGATTACAGAATTAAAACAGAATAGAATGTGTCTTCCCTTGTTTGTCAGCCTGTACTTTGTGGAGGCTTTCCTTATATTGGTTTAGAATGCTTCTTTGGAAATTGGTGATAGTGTGTAATTTTCTAAATAAGTACAGAATGGACAATTTCTATAACAGTTTAAATGCAAAGTAGTAATTTAGAGGAGATGGCATGATTGGGTCCCCTCCTTATGTTCATTTCTTTCCTTGCCACGGAGACCAGGACTGAGCCGGACCTTGACTGAATTTGACCTGGGGGTTTGGTTCTAAAAGGCCTACATTGGATTTTGTGTACAGTGACATTTCAAATTGTGCTGCGCCTCACTCCAAGTGCAATGAGCTTCCGTCACCTCCCTTTTCTCTTTTCTTTCCATTTTGTACTTTAAGGGAAACAGAATCAACCTGAGAGAAAACTAAGGAGAGGAATAGGAGAGGAAGGTGGTGTTTGGGAGCAGGAGTGGGGAGGTGACACAGAAAATGTGCCTTCTGATAGCAAGAGAGGAAATTGGAAGTTGGCCTGGGGTTAGCATTGTTCAGCTGCTATACTAAAGCCTTTGGGCCTAGTGTGGGTTCACTGCAACTTTCTCCGTGGGTGTAAGGAGAAAACCCCGCAGGGGTTTTTGTGTCCCCTTTGACCTTAGTAAATTTTCGGGGTGTAAATTTTGTGTGTGTGTTTGTGTGTGTGTGTGTGTGGCTGTTTTTGGTCACACCTGGTGATGCTCAGGGGTTACTCCTGGCTCTGCACTCAGGAATCACTCTTGGTTGTGCTGAGGGGACCATATGGGATGCAGGAGATTGAACCTGGTCAGCCATATGCAAGGCAAACGCCCACCCCGCTGTATACTAATCGCTCCAGCTCCAGGTGTGTACATTTTTAAAGTTGAAATCATGTCGCAGTATAACATGATAGATATTTCAGGAGATCGTTACTGAAAATCACATGTGCTGATGACGTTCAATTCAACCCCAAATCCAGTTCAGTCCTCCACAATGTGCCAGATTTTGTAATAATAATAATAGTAGTAGTAGTTACTGCTGGTGGTGGTAGTTTGGGAGTCTACCCATTGTGTTCAGGACTTACTCCTGACTCTGAGCTCAGGGATCACTCCTGGTAGTGCTTGGAGGGGCTGTAGGCAGTGCCAAGGATGGAACAGAGGCTGGCTACATGTGAGGCAAGTGCCTTAATTCCTGTTCTAGCTCTCTGGTCCACTACTTTCTCGTTAAGATGCTGCTTGTTGGGGTGGAGAGATAGAACAGCAGGTAGGGTGCTTGCCTTGCACACAGCTGACCTGGGTTCAATCCCTAGTACCCCCATATGTAACCCCTGAGCACCTCCAGTTGTGGCCCCAAAACAACAAAAAGATACTACTTGACTGAAATTTCCTCTGAGGCAGAGAGGGACCCCCCCAACCGAGAAAGGAAGCTCCAGAACTTTCTTGGTTTCTTTGCCTGTGACCTGGCATGCATATACTTCTCGAAGTTGCAGCTCTGAGGAGAGACAGCTTGGCTGAGGCAGTGTTGATTTTTTTTTGAAGGAAAATGCTTTATGAATATTGGATGATTCTGAGCCCAAACTGCGGGGATAATCTCTCTTCATATTGAATTTCTCTTTGGAAACATTTCTCCACTGTATGTTTGCTTTCCCCAGTCGCCGGCAATGGATCCTTTGCTGCCTGAGTTGAGAGCTCAGATCCAGAGTGATCCACTGCCTGATAAGCAGAAAGAAATGGGGTGCTCTGTTTCCTCTCCTCTGCAGGGAGGACGGGCAGAGGTCCTGGTTTTGGAGCCTTGCTCTGTTACTCAGCCTCATTATCCCCCCTGCTGTGTGCGTGCTCCCTACATCTGTTTATATCAGTGACCGTTGTCACTTCACCTTGCATGCTATACTTTGAGTACAACCTTGATTTCAGTATTTATAAATACTGCCTCTACTTTTATTCTCAGTTAAAGAGACTCTAACATTTTGGGTAGGTTTTGGTGATGTTGTTGCAGGATTGGGGAGGGATGAACCTGGGAGAGGTCAGGGAACACTCCGAGGACTGTCTGAGTCCCTGGGGATCAAACCCAGGTCTGCCGTTTGCAAGGGGGGGCAAGGTGACACCTGAACCCTGGCACCATCACTCCAGCTTGAGCCTAACGTTTCAGAGAAAACCATAGTTTGTTCCCTAAAACACCTTTATCCCCGCTTATTCTACAGCTCTTCAAAAAAAAAAAAAAGATTCACCTTGACTTTTGTTTCACTTGCAGTTTTCGCTTGATATCAGGCTTGTTCGTCCTTACAGTGACTTTTGTAAGATTTCTATTTTTGCATCAAACATTTATTCCATGCCCAGCTCTTAAAATATTCATATATCTTAAGGTTTTATATTTAATTTACAAATAGACACTCACTTGCTCATGTATTCATGCTTCTTAATCGCATCAAACAAAAAACCGATCCAACCAGTCTTGCTACCGTAGACCTTGGGTATATGGATTTTGCTGCCTCAGGAGCCAAAGGCAGCGGCCCCTTGTCAGGAGCATCATCCAGACACTGATTGCCTTAATAGAAAGAAATCAATCCCATAATTGAGCCCTTTAGCAGTTATTAGTGTATACCAAATTCACTATGGGTAATGCTCAGAGGCTAGACTAAAGAAATAAAAAGCAATATAAATCAGTTGCCTGAAAAGAGTTATCACCTTCTGAGACATCAAGTTCAAGGGAGTGACTAAAATGCTTCCAAGTAGAGAAAGTCTTTGTATCGGATACTGTCTGCATGCCTGAAATTGCCGTAGAAATTCCAAGCAAGGGGATAAGCAGCAGCCCTAAAGGGCTTATGTTTCCTTCCTGTGGCTCCCCTGTCCTACCAACCACTCCCTAAGTCTCTGCCTGGTATTTATGCCATTGCCTTTCTTGGAATACCCATGTGAGGGACTCTGGGGTGAAGGTATGCACTGTGTGCCACCATATATCCCGCTGGCCCTGGCTCAGTTCCCCAGCACCAATCCAGTTCTCCTGATGCAGCTAGGGGTCACTCCCGAGTACCGAGCCAGGATTAGCTCCTGAGCACTGTGGGTTAGGACCCACCTCTGGTGGCGCTCCAGACAGCTTTTGTTTTTTTTTTTTCAGTCTTTCTCTTGGGGGAACAGCACCCCTTAAAAATTCATTTAAAAAAGGGGCCAGATTGATAGTATAGCAGGTAGGGTATTTGCCTTGCATGCAGCCAACCCGGGTTCGATCCCCAGTATCCCATATCGTCCCCCAAGCACTACCAGGAGTAGTTACTGAATGCAGAGCCAGGAGTAACCCCTGAGCATCGTTGGGTGTCACCCAAAAAGGAAAAAAAAGGGGGGTGCTGGAGCAATACTACAGTGGGTAGAGCATTTGCCTTATACCTTGCACATGGCTGACTCAGGTTGGATCCCTGGCATCCCATAGGATGCCCAAGCACCACCAGGAGAAATTCCCAAGTACAGTGCCAGGAATAACCTCTGAGCATCGCTGGGTGTGACCCAAAAAAGCCCCTCCAAAGTAATCATAGTAGTTGCCAGGTATTGGAATTCAAACTTGAGTGTTCATGTTTCTCCTTGGTTCATATCTAAACCATGGGCCTTCGTTCTTTACGTATTGTTGCGACTTCATTACTCCTTAGCACCATCCTCAATCAAAACCTCAGCCAGGTAGGACAGATTTGAAAAATCTGGAAACAAACTGGATTCTGTCTGTTCCACTTCCCACATGCCTTCTCTGACAGGTCTGAATGAAAAGATCTCTGTGGCAGGAGATACTGTTCAGGAGAATCCATGGGCCATTGTGTCCAAGAAAGAAACAGGCTCTTTCCCGAGCTCACCTACTATTTCCCTTTGCATATACTGAGAAGAGGGAGGACAAACACTTGTTGGGAAATATGCAAAGCATCAGATAATAAAGGACAGCTTAATTAATGTTCGCATTTCCAGAGGCCAAGCGAACTCAAGAAGGGTAAAAGGAATGAAAAGTCATTGCTTTCCTAATTCCCTGCAGCCATGAAGAATAGTTCTGGAGTCATAAGATCTATCCCCTAGTTCTTTTTTATTTGGAACATTGCGCCTTTTAAAATTATGTCATTATTAAGGATTTTAGTACATGTCTGGTGTAGAGGGGTTAGCTGTTACTAAGTCTCTCTCTCTCTCTTCTCTCTCCTTCCTTTTCCCCTCTCTCTCCCTTCCTCCCTCCCTTCTCTCTCTCTCTCTCTGTCTCTCTCTCTCTATCTCTCCCTCCCTCACCCGCTCCCTCTCCCTCTCTCACTCTCTCTCATGGAACCAAAGAACTTACATTTTATTCCCGCATGCATCTTGATTTCCAGTTGCTACAAGCTGTCCCCTTGTAAACACATATTTCACCAAATTATTTTCACCTTCATTACTTGTAATGCTTTCAATGAGAACAATAGCCTTTTTCTCCTTTTTGGAAGTAGGAGGTATGTAGCCCTCAGCCTGAGGATTTCCTGTTTTGTGAATACTAAAGAGCTGTTTTGTGTTGAAGAGTCAAGTGTAGAAAACAACAGTCACACCAGTTCTTGTATGTACATTTATGTTTTCAGGGGGAAAGAGACACTGTTTCTTAATTTTTTGTTTCCCTCTTTTTCTCTCTCTAGACAAAGCCTGTTGCCTTTGCAGTTCGGACAAATGTCAGCTACAGTGCAGCCCATGAAGATGACGTTCCCGTGCCGGGCATGGCCATCTCATTCGAAGCAAAAGATTTTCTGCATGTTAAGGAAGTACGACATACTTTTAATTTACCTACCTGATATTCCCCTTGAAACATCGTTTTTTATTCCCTGTTGCTGTGAAATCACCTTGCCCGGAGCTGTAGCTGTGTGCTTTCTGCCCAATCTCAGTGCTCTTGACACTTTTCTAACTATATATGACACCATTTTAAAAGTTCATTTATAGGGCTGGAGCGATAGCACAGCGGGTAGGGCGTTTGCCTTGCACTCAGCCAACCTGGGTTCAATTCCCAGCATCCCATATGATACCCTGAGCACTGCCAGGAGTAATTCCTGAGTGCCGAGCCAGGAGTAACTCCTGTGCATTGCCAGGTGTGACCCCCCCCCAAAAAAAAAGTTTATTTCTGAGTATACTGATGATTTAGCACTTTTATTTGGGTGCCATGACTTTCAGTAAAGTTAATATAAAGTCCCGGCATACAGCACATCCACCATGCTAGTGTTCCCCCCCACCAGTATCTCAAGGACCCCTCCCAACCCCTCTCATCCTCCTACCCATTGGCAAACCCAGGTCTACAGACCAACTTTCAGGGTCTTTTGCTGTTGGCCATTTGTTAGTCCCTTACTATGTTTCACATGAGAGAGCTTTTCTGTATTTGTCCCTCTCCTTACTGACTTCATTCAGCATGATACCCTCCATGTAGCAATGAATTGCATTTTGTCTTCTTACAGCCAAGTAGCATTCCATGGCTTATATAAGCCACCGTTTCTTTAACCACTTGGCATTTGGGCACTTTAGGCACATGGGTTGTGTCCAGATTGTGGCTACTGTGAATAGTACAAATATCTTTTTGAAATACCATTTTGGAACTCTTTTTTTAAAAGAAGAAAAAAGTCACTAGACTCTGACAATAACATCAAGACCTCCCACCTCCGTCCTGGGCTCCATGACCCAGAAACTAGGAAGTTTTTCTACATAGATGATTCTTTCTTATGCTTAACCATTATTTTATCTTAAGTGTGTGGTCTGAACCATTGTTTCTCCCTTCATGTCTCAGTTTAGGCATCTGAGATTTTTCTATCTCTCCTCTCTGCTGAAAGCATTTGAACTCAGATCTCTGATTCTCTCGGTCCTTCAGTGCTTCGCTTCTCAAGGAGAGAGAGAGAGAGAGATGATAGGCCTCTCTCTCTCTGGAGAGATACCAGGGACACAGGAACCAGATAGAAGAAAAATCCCCATCCTTCATGATAAATATATCCAACTTTCAGTTAACTGTGACTCAATCTGTAAATTGTAGAAATCCACCCTCAATTAAGGATTACTGTGCGTCAATATTTATCTGATGTTTGCCAGCTAGGACACTGTTAATTGATAAGAAATCCCTCCATCTATTGTTCTCGATGTGTGAGCATGAGCTTTCTTTGAGATCTGCAAATATTTACGATAGAAGCACTTCCACTAAGCTGTGTGTGTTGGCGGGGGGTGTTGGGGGAGGGTGGTCATCATAGGGCTTGGGAGAATTTGCAAATTTCGCTGGTCACTGCAATAAAAGGCAAATGAGACAACAGCTGCCAATGCAAAGGATTGATAAAATTTGAACCGACCACTTCAGTTTTTTAAGAAAGAGGTGCAATATAGCATCTAGAAAGGAAAGATAACGTTTTCAGACAGAATGGCGTCGCTGACCTCTGGCAACAGGAGGTTAGACTGGTCCACCGCCTCCTTTTGGGAGCTGATCCCTCAGACAAGGCCCCATTTCTACCATGAACAAAGGAGAAATACGGAATGAAAAAGTACTATTCCGGGGAGGGATATCAATTTAGATCATAAAGATTTTAGAATGAGTATTTCAACTACAATAGAGAATTGTCAATCTTAACCTAAGAGGCAACAGATATCTCATCGTGGTCATTGTTAACCTGTTTGCACAAAGATAGATGCCGTCTGGGGCATGATTTCAGGTAGATTTCAGGACTTCTCTGGCCCTGTTAACATGTGTCATTCATTTGATGGCAGAAGTGGATGAAATGAGTTCTCTTAAGCACACCCTTGTTGCTCCTGGCCTAGGAGCTGTTAACCGTGGAACAAGTCGGTGCGTTCTACTCAGGGTATAGCTGCCTGTGACAGACCCTTTGCCAATGCTAGCACAGTGGCACCAAGAAAAGGGACAGAGGAAAGCCTGTGGGGGCAAAACCCAAAAACCTCAGGGTTTCCAGGAGGTCAAGGCTGTTGTCTCCTTAGCCCAGGCTGCTTTTAGTTGCTGAATAGTTCACGGAGAAGAAAGACAAGGGGACGGGTTGAGCTTCTCTACACTGACCTGCGCCATTTTGATTCTGCCTTTAGAAATTTAACAATGACTGGTGGATAGGGCGCTTGGTGAAAGAAGGCTGTGAAATCGGATTCATCCCAAGCCCGGTCAAACTCGAGAACATGAGGCTACAGCATGAGCAGAGAGCCAAGCAAGGGAAATTCTACTCCAGGTAGGTGGAAATGGCCCCGTGTGACCGTGCGCATGTCACCTTCCTCCAGGCACTGTCCTTACCTGGAGTCCACCATCCTTTTAGTGGGTGCAAAGCAGTGTTAAGAAGACAGGATTAGGGCTGGAGCGATAGTACAGCGGGTAGGGTGTTTGCCTTGCACACGGCCAACCCGGGTTCGATTCCCAGCATCCAATAAATCCCACCAGGAGTAATTCCTGAGTGCAGAGCCAGGAGTAACCCCTGAGCAATGCCAGGTATGACTCAAAAAAAGCAAAAAAAAAAAAAGAAAAAGAAAAAAGAAGACAAGTTTGCCACCCTTAAAAGAAGAAAAAGGGGTAAACTGAGGCAAGTTCAAAGTTGACAGCAGGAGTTTCTTCAGGGTAAGCTGAGGAACATGAAAGCTGCTAGGCTCCTGTGTGTTGGGTAGGCTGTACTGATGGATGGTTACCTACCTGGGGAGAGGCCAGTTAGAGTCTGCTTTAAAACAAAGACATGATGGGGCTGGAGAGATAGCACAGCGAATAGGGCGTTTGCCTTGCACACGGCTGACCTGGCTTCGATTCCCAGCATCCCATATGGTCCCCTGAGTACCTCCAGGGGTGACTTCTGAGTGCAGAGCCAGGTGTGACCCAAAAAGCAAAACAAACAAACAAACAAACAAACAAAACATGAGGCCAGTGAGATAGCACAGTGGGTAGGGCACTTGCCTTGCATGCGGCTGAACCACGTTCAATCCCCAGAACCCCATAGGGTCCCCTGAGCACAGGAATAAGTCCTGAGCAGCACTAAATGTGACCCACACACAAAACAAAATACCTGAAAAATACCAGCACTTAAAATTCTCTGAGTAGACAAAGCCAACCCATCACCTGAACAAAGCCCAGCACAGCCCACAAAGCCAAACCGCCAGTGGCCCTGGTGGTTTCTAATTTCCCAGGCAGTCACAGTCCAGCTTCCTAAGTGGCTGTGATGTCAGCTCTTATAGGAAAGCTCATCCTTATTAGTACCTTAGGTTTAATTTTCCCAGGCACGCAGGCCTGAAATTTTTTCCATTTCTGAGCCCCCCAGAATTATTTTAGATTGAAAGTCATTCACCATCGGTAATAATACTGCAGATGGGGCCCTAGAAATGCGACATCTGGCGTCTGCTTTGCATCCAGCTCAGAAGAGAATCGAATGATCTGACAGTTGCTAATGAGAAGAGAGAAAGTGTACGAACACTTTCGTGCAGCCTGAGTACAGAAGTGATACTCATGGGCTCTCTCCTCTGAAAGACCCCACACTCTGAGCAGCACTGGTGACTCCGTCACTGCATGCTGTGCCAGAGACACCTTTGGAAATGATGGTCTCAGGTGTCACTGACAAATAGCCCTTCTTTTGGTCAGTTTGTTTCATGTTCATTCGAGAGAGTTAATTTTCAGTCCTGCTCACTGCTGAGCACTCAAAGGAGAACCCAATATGACACCTGGTAAAATTGCCTTGGCAGATAGCAATTAGATGAGTTCTCCAAGAGGTTGATACTGAACGGTCTTTCCCAGGCATCTCAGAGTGGATTGCCCCTCTCTTAAGAAATCACTCAGTCTCCTCAGACACAGAGTGGGTTTTCAATTGAACCCTTAAGCCATCAAATCCAAGACTGTAGCTGCTCCTTCCCTGGGGAGGTCATGGGCTTGAAATCAGCCTTTTTTCTGAAATGAAAGAAAGCAAAGCGTTTTGTTTACTCCTACTTCTGTGTTATTGGTTCATTTCAGGATGCTCAACACTCTGACAAGAATCTTAGTCTTAGAAAAATACTTTGCAAGCAGCAGCCAATCATTCAAATAAAAAGAGCTTTAGGAAAACTAATATCTTTTTCCCTGCTTGGTTCTTTTAGTACAGATAGAATCCCCTGTCCCGTACTTGACGTTCATTCATCTTTGGGTTATTGGGGGCTGTGAGTCTTTTAAAAGCAGAAGTATCACAGGTGAACACACAAAGATAAACACATACAATTCAATTGTAGGATCTTGAAGATCTAATACTGTTCATTTCATTTCTGTTGTTCTGTTGGCTTTATTGTGTGTTTCTTCATCTATTGTGATATGTTAATATTTGTTAAACTCTTACAGTATGGAAAAATTAATTTTCTGGGGCATAGGCATTACTTTACTAATTTGGTTGTATAAATGTAGAACTTGGGGGCTAGGACGCCCAAACCTAGAAGTTGAAGTTTTGACCTCTCCCAAACCTTAGAGCCAGCTAAAAAGCCTTATGATAATAGCTTCACATATTTCTTTCCCTTTGAATGGCATGATGGATGGCCTGTAGGTGTTGGTGTCAGTTTTTAAAAAAATTTAATCTTTTCTAGCAGATGTGAATATATTTGATGGTCATGTTAAAGTGGACCATTATCTTTATATATTTTATGCATTTATAAGCTGTGGAGCGATAGCACAGCAGTAGGGCGTTTGCCTTACAAGCGGCCAACATGGCCGACCTGAGTTCGATTCCTCCACCCCTCTCGGAGAGCCCGGCAAGCTACCGAGAGTATTCGATATGCCAAACACAGTAACAACAAAGTCTCCAATGGAGACGTTACTGGGCCCGCTCGAGCAAATCGACAATCAATGGGAGGGCCTTTACTTATGGCATAAGTTAAATTTTGGATACAGGGTACAGGGTTTTTATGAGTTTTTTTCAGATTGTTTCAAACTCTCCCAACTTTTTTTCTAGTCTACTTATTGAAAAACAGTGCTCATAGGATAGAGACACATAATTCAAATCATGTCCCTGAAGGGTCCACCAAGCTGGTTGAGATGTGAAGGCACCTCAGCTGTGGAACAATTTGTATTTGGTTTTCGTTTCTTGGAGGGCACTTTGGCATTTTCTAGATTTTTCTTGTCAAATAACTTGAGAAGGATTCTCCAGTGGAATGAATTTAGGACTGTAGTTGTAGGTCATAGAAAGTGATTTGAGGGCTTCCAGAGATCTTGGTATCTTATTCTGCAGTGTGAATCAGGGAGGTTGAAAGAAAAATAATTTTTATGTGAACACTAAGAAATAAAATCAAGGGTGGAATTTTTTTCAAAGATAGACTTGTATATCTTTCTCTGCTTCTTCATACACAAAATGAGGAGGAGAAACTACTTCCTGGGAGTTAGAAAGAGAGGTGTTTTGGCCAAAAATAGCTTAGAGAATCATTTCCTCTGCCTCAACTGGGTCCCCCCTCACCCCTCCCCTATCTTAGCAATTTATGATCAGTTGGCTTTGTAAGAACCTGAGGACCATAAATGTCTTCACCTTTACTGCATAGATGAAGTAATAGGCAATAGAAGTTCAGGAAGTTGCCAGGGTCACACAGCTAGATGGTGTAAGGTTCAGGGTAAAAACCCCATTAATGGACTCCAGGCTGAACTTCTACAAACCCTGATTTACTCTTTGTCCTGCATTGGTTTTACTATTGCCCTTTGTGTTATTTTCTTATGGATGAGGGGAGTAAAACATACCAGATTCTAGGAAATGGAGCTACTTCCCATGATTATAGATGCACCCTTGTTTGATTTTTCTTTGGTCTGTCTCTCTTCTCAAGTGTTTGTTTACATATGTCAAATACATTTTTGCTTAGAAATTTGTTTACATCTGTCATGTACACAGTTTTTGTTTTGAGAGCACAGCCAGATCTTAGAGCTTTAAAACTCTTACTGTGTAAATTCTAAAAATCAATAGAAATCAAAGGCAATAAAAAGAGGGTTCAAGAGAGCAGAGTTTCTATAGAATTAGAAATTAAGGGCAGTTTTGCATCCTGAATATTTCTACTCTTGGGAACATTTGAAATTGTCTTATACAATCTGAAGGGTGCTTTGTTGTGAAAATTCAATGAGACTAAGAAGATTTTGAGAGAAATTAAACAGGGCTTGAAAAGAAAAACTTCTGGAAGAAAATTTTGTAGTCCTGCTCATAGGTATTCTTGAATATTTGCCAGAAACTGTTTTCTAGAAATCCCACTTATTATTACTTTTATATGTGTCTGATCTTTACATGTGATAGAATATCTTTTACAAACCTTAAAAAACCTATAGAGCCTTCTCACTAGTTTCTTATGGCTTCAGAAGTTTATCTGTTTTAAGCATTAAAATTCCAAAAGAATTGCAATAAAACACAGACTTTTCATGGAATGTATATTTTAATATTAATATTTACTGAAGTAAATGTTGCCCTTTGAAGCACAGACATTACCAGTTCATTCAACTAAGCTCTGCTTGGCTATAATAAATGTCAAGTAATAAGATTGCCTGGCTAAAATTTCATGTCCATCTTTTCAGATGCTCCTTCCCTCCTTCATGTAAGAAGGGATCATTTAGTATTCTGGAATTTAGCTTGTGGAGACTTGACCCAAAACCTAAGCACTTTTGTTCTAATATTAACTGCAACATTTCTATGACTCTAAAGTACATCTTATATCAAACAGCAAAATTTGTTGGTTGGTTCTGAAAGAGTTTCAGGTCATACCGATTATCCAGGCTGAACTGTTCATTTACCCAAGCTTGAGACACATTCTGGTTGTTACCTAGAGCATATGCAAATACCACATTTCTTCATCTGGTTTTAAAGATGAGCCAGGTTTGGGTGTCACTGAGTCCTTTTTTTCAGTAAGTTATTCAATGAAAACTCCAGTACTTCCACTCAAAGTATACAAAAGCAAAGAAACAAGCTAAATGAAAGGAAACTGCTAAATCCTGGTATTAACCTTGAGGTTCTCAACTTTGCTCAAGTCAGAAGCAAAGAAGCTCTGCCATTGTAGAGATTTTGAGGGCAGCAGAAATTACCATGTCTCCTGCATTCTCTCAAGGTCTGTTAAAATTAACCCTGGAATTTGAAACAGAGGCTCGTTGGGCTGTTGCTAAGGATTCCAGGAATCTCCACAGGGGAAATTACTATCTGCCTCTTTGTGGGAAAGAGTCTACAGTTCAATAAAAACACAATGAGTAATCATGGTTTATTGAACAGTAACAAATGTTTTAATATCTGCAATGGATATCAGAGTTAATATGAAATTTTGCTTTACTCCAGTAAATCAGGAGGAAATTCATCGTCCAGTTTGGGTGACATAGTACCTAGTTCCAGAAAATCTACACCTCCATCATCTGGTAAGTTGGAGACAGTGCTGAGTAGCACACCTTGCATTTCATGCTTTTCAGAGCCTGGTTGTTTGAGTTTATAGACACTGAATCACCTGCCCTGGAAATTTGTAAAAGGTCAGAAACAAGAATGTCCCCAATTTTGGAACGGTATGGGGTGTTGGCTTTCTGGTTTGAAAAAAAAGGGACATATAGACAGGGATGTGTTTGTTCTGAGTTGCTGAAGATGGTCAAAGTGATGTAGCCTCCCCCTCCCCACCCCCAATACCCAGGCAGTGAATGTGTGAATAACGCCCCCCCACCAGCCAACACACACACACACACACACACACACACACACATACATACATACACACACACACACATACAGACACCATGTCATGTTAGGTGCTAGCTTCCAAATTAAATGAAAAATGAAGAAAGAGAGTCCTAGGAAGAAAGTGAGGAAGCAGTGATTGGTCTCATGTGAGCTATACCTACTAGGGTCTGTGGCAGATGCAAAAGATATAGAAAACTCTTGAAAAACAAGATGGAAATGCCTATGGGAAGAGTTAACTATTGTTTGATTTTCCAGTCTGTAGAGAAGGACATCAAGCTATATTTGAATTTCACAACCAATGATTTTTTAGTGGAAGCAAATATTGTGGGTGCCATGCAAAGGGAGGGAGGGAGGGAAGAAGGAAGAGAGGGAAGGAATGAGGAAAAAAGGAAGGAGGAAGGAAAGTAGGAAGGAAGGAAGGAAGGAAGGAAGGAAGGAAGGAAGGAAGGAAGACATTTATCTGAAATTTGAATTTAACTGGATTTGTATTTGTTCAATCCAGTAGTAATTAACATCCTGTGCAGAGAGTTCTATAAATAGATGTTGCCTTGGTAAAACTACATAAAAACCAGAGTCTTAGTTTGCTGAGAGATGAAAGTGAGAGAGAAATATTGCAGTTGTCCAAAGGCATATTGGACCTAAACAATTCTAGGGGTGACTGAGAAAGTGGGAAGTGGGAAGAGGGAAACTTCAGATAAACTCCTTCCTTCCTCCCTCCCTCCGTCCCTCCCTCCCTCCATCCCTCCCTCCCTCTCTCCCTCCTCCCTCCCTACCTTCCTCCCTCCCTCCCTCCTTCCCTCCCTCCCTTTCTTTGCATGGCACCCACAATATTTGCTTATCCACGGAGAAATGGAGGAACTCTGTCCGCTAAACTGTGGAGTTTGAGACCATCTCCCTGTCATACTGATGCCACTGCATTCCCGACTGAGGGTAGAGGAGTCCCATCATGGGCTTCTCAACACAAACCATGGGACTCTGACTAAATTTACATGCAGTAGAAAGGAATTGCTTAGGATGTATATGGATTTTAGAAGCCATGTGCTTAACTGGGACTTGCCATCATTCTAAATGGTCCCAAAGTAAGAAGTATATTTGACAAGTAAAGCCCAGGAAGGTTTCAGTGAGGTGCTGTCTTCCCTTGATCAGCAAGGAGGAGCTGCTTTGCGAAGGGTGAATGGAGGCATCCTTGCCACTACTTCTCCAACCTGTGTGGTTGCAGGGATGATCCTGAAGCCCTGAGATCTACAGGTAAAGAGCTCTGTTGGTACAGCCTTAGGAAAGATGCTCACAGGCTACAGCTTTGTGGTACAGCCTTAGGAAAGATGCCCACAGGTCTACACCTCTGTTGGTACAGACTTAGAAAAGATGCCTCAAGTAGTCACTTGAGACTGTCAAAGCACCTATGAAAGGAGAACCCACGATGCCCGGGGAGCAGCTGTGCCTCTCTCCATCCCCCTGCCCCTTGCAGAGCTCAGCCTGCCTTCTTCAGACCAGGCAGAACTTGGCTGCTTCCTAGCCCCTGTGACCCTGGAGTACTCTCCTTTGGAAACAGAAATGTGAGCAGGCACAGTCGTTACTGTGTTAATGCACAGACATTACCAGTCATCGACATTCTGAGGACTGGTAATGTCTTTGTGCAGCTGCCTTTTTGTGTCCTTCTTGGCAGGAGTCTGTGTAAAATTTGAGTGAAATGGAGAGTTGAACGTAATAATAGTCTATGGGCTAGAGCGATAGTAAAGTGGGGAGGACATTTATTTGCCTTGCACTTGTCCACTTGTCCAACCCAGATTCAATCCCCAGCATCCCATATGATCCCCCTGGAGTAATTCTGTGAATGAAGAGCCAGGAGTAACACCTGAGCATCCCTTGCTGTGACCCATAAAACCAAATAAATAAATAAAAATGATTTAAAATGTCTTCCAACTTTCCCACAGATACAGGTCTTTGCAGAAACCGTTCTGAGAAACGCTAGGGACTCCATGAACCAGATGGCATCACTCAGAAGAGTGCCTTGGGCTCTTGCTCTAATTTTCACATAGTAAAATGTGTCTTCAAGGAAAGTTCCAGAAAATTCTTTTTTTTTTCTTTTTGGGTCACACCCAGCGATGCACAGGGGTTACTCCTGGCTCTGTACTCAGGAATTACTCCTGGTGGTGTTCAGGGGATCATATGGGATGCTGGGGGTTTAACCCAGGTCAGCTGCATGCAAGACAAACACCCTACCTGCTATGCTAACGTTCCAGCCCAAGTTCCAGAAAATTCTTCACAGAGTTTCCTCTACCCTCTGAGGAAAACAGACTCCCCTAGCCAGGGTGAAAGCTTTGCTCCCCCAGATTCACCTTACTCCTAAGCATCAGCTTAAATACACAGACGTGGATGCCCTCAAGGATTGGAAAGAGAAGCATTTCCAGCTGCATCTGTACCACGGGAAACGGCATGCTAGCCAGCTGTGCAACATGTACCCCACACGTCTCTACACATATGTGGCTCATGGTATTCCATGCCACCCAACTGCGATCAGTGATCTAAGATCAAACTGACATTTATATCTCGAAAGAACATTCCCAAGGCTCTCTACCAGAAAAGTTGATAAATAAATGCAGGCATACCTATGAGGAAGGATGGGGTCAGGGGGAAACACTATTTTCAGATTTATAGATGATTTCTGTCACCTGAATGCCAGAGACATGACCGTGGGCAGGGTACTTGAGTGGAGCTGACCCTGATTTGATCTCCGGCACTGTATATTGTCCCCCAAGCCCCACCAGGAGTGATCCCTGAATACTTCCAGGTATGGTCTCCAAACCAAAATAAATAACGAAAAGAACAGTTTAAAAAAGTCTAAAACAGTCTAAAAATAGTGTATCAAAAAAATAAAAAGAGCTGAATATGATTCTCGATTCCTTTGAGAACTATTTTTCGTGAGTTTTGAAAGTGGCCCAAAGTTTCAGAGTTCTGTGTTTCACAGCGCATGTTCTCGGGTTGATGTTATCTACAAGGTAGAACTAGTACATGGGTAAATTTCACTTGAAAACCCAGTATCCACAGTATGGGGACAGGGCCATCCTGGTCAGGCTCTGTGAATGCTTCGCTGAACATCCGGGCCATGTCACAGCCAAATTCTTTATGCATCTCCACCCTGTCCATTAGAATAATAATCCACTGAATGCAGCAGACCACGTTCAGTGAACAAGCTGCAAAACCCCCAAACCTTGGCCCCTGCTGACGCATGTCCACTCTCAGGCAGCCTCGATTCCAGAAAAGGGAGGAGCGCTGTCCCTTGCGTGTGACTTCCCTGGGCGCAGTAAGTGATGGGAAAGAGGAGAGCATGTGGGAATTTACAGCCAGAAGGAAACACGCGCTGCCCCAGTATGGACATGCTTCCCACACTGACATCTAAGGGAAATGCATTGGGCATTCCAGGTATCAGCTCCTTCAAGGGGCGTTACTCCCCAGCAAGGGAAAAGGAGAGAGGAAACAAGAGGTCCAAGTTTCCAGAAGGCGGAGTCACAATGTAGCCCCAGTAATTGCAAATTGTGAGGCATGGTTGATGCTCTCTATTGCTAGCCTGGCCTGTCGCTTGGGAAGGTCAGCGGCAGGGAAGGGTCTTCATCTGAGCCCATGGAACTCCATGGGGGATGTGTCGTGTCACAGAATGCCCGCCTGGGTGATTCCCTGCCACAAGTCTCGCAGTTAAACTACACCACAGAGTGATTTCCTGGGGATGCTCAATGCACTGATATTCTAGGTGTCCTGACACTGGGGACTTAGCTCCACTTGGAGAGCAAAAGATCCATCCATGTGGCCGAAAGGACCTAGAAAAAAATGGCTTTGGCTCAGGGAGGTAGCCCCAGGTAGGAGACGTGAATTCAGAGGCAGACCAGTGTCTGCATCCCGACTCTGCTGAGATTTTCTTTTTTTTTCTTCTTCTTCTTCTTTTTTTTTTTTTTACTAAATTCCTTAAACTCCTTTAAATTCAAGAGTTTAGTTTTGGAATCTTAGAAATGAGAGCATTGTTATGGAGCTTTAAAACTATTTTGCTGGAGAGAGAGCTCAAGGGTTTGGCTGCAGAATGATGCAGGAGACCTGGGTTCAAGCCCTGAGTACCACCAGGAGTAACCCCTCTCAGGGAGCTGACAATAGCCAGGTATGGCCTAGAAACCAAAATGTAAATAAAACAAATTTTCAAAATGTGCAGCTTTGATTCCACAGTTGATATAGTCCTATATTAGCTGCATATAGAAGTACTTTATCTTAAAAATGAAACAGGGGAATCTGTCTTCATTTAACATTCATGCTATGTTTTCAGGTGGAAAGAGAGTTCCTTTTTCCTTCTTTTGTTTTGTTTTGTTTTGTTTGGGGGGCACACAGGTATTGCTTAGGCTCCTGCCTGAGCACTCAGGAATTGCTCCTGGTGATGCTCAGGGAACCATATGGGATGCTAGAGATCGAACCTGGGTCAGCTGCATATGCAGGGCGACTGCTTTACCCACTGTACTACCTCTCTGTGCCCTGGAAAGACTTAGAAGTGGACGTAGGTTGAACCTCTCACTTTCCAGCCAAGCAGATCCCAGTGTCCTTACACTCTAGGTCCTCTTGCCTTTCCATTCTGCCTCTCATGTGAAATCCAGTGACCCTTTAGAAGTCCTCAGAAAAACAGTGTCATTTCTTGGGACTCATTGCATTTGGAGACCAACAGATTCTGAAATACACAGTCAGACCCACACACAGCACCTCAAAATCATTTTAATCCCACTCTTCCTAGAACCCATCCTTATTCATTTATCTTGTGGATCCCTCCTAAATAAGAAAAATAATATTTTTATTTCTTATTTTTTGTTTTGTTTTTGGGCCACACCTGGTGACACTCAGGGGTTACTCCTAGCTCTGTGCTCAGGAATCACTCCTGGCTGTGCAAGGGGATGCTGAGTATCAAACCTGGGTTGGCTGTATGCAAGGCAAATGCCCTGCCCACTGTACTCTCTCTCTCTGGCCCATAAGTTTAGAATTTTCTAGTGTCTCTTCTCCAGTGCTTATTGCAGTATACCTTTTTGCTCTGCTTGCTTCTGCATACAAAGCAATTCAAATAAGAAATCTGAGGCATGTTACAATAAAGGTTTCTGGTGCAGGCATTTATTACATAAAAGCAGTTTTAAGATCTTGCAAAAAGTGAACCTAAACGTTCTGTCCTGCACTTATAGAAATAACAGTTGGCACGGAAAGGATCAATATTGCCTTTGAATCTAGATTGAAGCTGTTTTTCTGAACAGTTATGTAAGACAGGGAGTGACCAAGGTCTCCAGCCAAGGGAGATTACAGGGGAATATCCTTCCATTTTGTGGGATCGGATTCCATTGCATTCTTCATGTGCTTTACCCTTCAATTTTCACTTGGTTGAGTATCTGGACTTTCCCAATAGATCTCTGATGATGGTTAGAGTTGTTGGCTTTTGTTTTACTTAATTTTAAAAAAATTTTATAACCCTTTTCCACTCCTGTCTACCTGATGATTTTTGAATTGTTTGTCTGTATATAGCTATAGACATAGATGCTACTGGCTTAGATGCAGAAGACAATGATATTCCAGCAAACCACCGCTCCCCTAAACCCAGTGCAAACAGTGTAACGTCACCCCACTCCAAAGAGAAAAGAATGCCCTTCTTTAAGAAGGTAACTGTGACTTCCAAGCTCCCTCTGTGCACCTGCTCAGTCGCATTGCGTCACACTTCCAGTCCCGTCGACTGTCTGTGTCCTTTGACAAGCCAGTAACATGCATGCTCTGTTATTCTTTGTTTCTTTTCCATGCTGCTGTAGCTAAGCAGAAGCAGAAATCGGTAAGTTTGCATTCACATAAGCTGTGTGTATCCTGCCACTGGCATCATTAGCATTAAAGTCCACAGTTTTATTAAGTACCATCATTTGTGTTTTAAGAGAAGAGCCTATCAAAAACGCTGATTGAGTTGCAAAGCAGCTAAATCCAGTGAGTGGCCTGTTAAAGCACCATTACAGTTCTTATCCTTTTTGATGGAATAATAGCTACTCCCCAAGGGAATCTATTTAAACCTTCCAAGATGTCAAACACTCGACAACTCCCCATAATGCACCTCTCCGTGCATGCTTAGTTGGTCTGTCTTTGTCTCTTCCTTCCCCAACTGCCAGAAATCTAACTGATAATCAAGCATAGTTAAACCATTAAGGTTCTGATTTATGATACCCAGACACATCATAGCTTGTACTGGAATAAAAAAAGGCACTCCATTTTGAAAATGTAGTCAGTATTTAAACTTCTAATCCATTAGGTGCAAAATGTACAGATGAACAAGACCAGTGGAAAACTGCAGGCTTGTTTTGGCGGTCTACTGTGAGTTTTTCCTATCGTCATGTGTAAATTCTCTTCCCATCTCTCACCTCCTCCCTGGGGCAGGTGTCAGCAATTCCCCCTGGAGTCTTTGCACAGGCCGACCTAGGTGCCACTTGGGTCCTCTCTGTCCAGGTGACCCTGACGCTCTCCAATTTCCATTCCTTCCCATCTTTCCCCGCCACTTGCCCCAGTCTGCTATGCTCTCATAAGTTCTTCTTCCCATTGACGCCCCCTCGGGGGTATGACCTCAGATCTACCCTACACTCCCAAGCACCCCCCTCTAAAGCTCCTTTTCTTCTCTGCACACTAGTTGTTGGCATTTGTGCAGGAGCTCTGGGTATCTTCAGTGTGGCGTCAGAGCCACAAACTTTGATAAAGAAGCGAGGGGTGGTTTAAAATCCAACTCGTGGATGTTGCCTGAGTCCAGAGGATGGAGTTCAATGTGCCTCCCTGCCAAAGGGTCTCTTTCGCTGGTCCTGTCCTCTCTCATCAACTTGCAGTCAAGTTATGCACCCTGGTCCCTAGTTTCAGAATCCCAGCAAAACCATGTCAGTCATGACAAGTTTCTAGACGTCTGTGTACTCTTAATTCCCCAAGCCTTAAACATGTTTATAGCAACTGATGCTGAATGAAGTGAGCAGGATAGTTTTTTGCAATAGCACACAAAGTACCAGTATTCCATCAAATAAGGTAATTTCTGTAGCCATCCTATGCAGAAGCCAAATGACTGCCAAAGCAGGGTTAACCCTTTGCTACTTGGCAGTCACAGATCAAAGGAACCAAAGACATAATCATTCCTGGGCCATGTCTAATGCAAAGCCCTGAAATAAAATTTCTTGGTAGCTATTACTAAAATGCATGCGATTTATATTTCCAGTTACAATGCCAGGAAAGATACCCTTGCACTGTGTTGTTATCAGAACTTGGCTTCTAACCATTTCCAACCCGATCCCAGGTGGGATCAGTGAAATCACTGAATATGCTTATGATGCCTTCGGCACTGGTATTCATTTTTCTTATGTTATTGATTATGTGGTCGACTTCGATGTAGAGTTCAAAAGCTGAAAACGCAAGTTGAGATGGAATGAGGCTATGTTCCATGAATTAGGTTGCTTTTAGAGTGGTGCTTGTGTAGTGTTTGTGCTATCACTGTATTATGTTTGTCTTTTTTTTTCTGTTTAAAAATTTACTCTATTGTGTCTATTAAAATTTATTTTGAACAGCAAGTAAAATTGCAAGCAGTAAAATTTGACAGTGCAGTCAAAACAGTATTTTTCTCCCTTCTGATAATACCATTCCTGACTTTTGGTGAAATTTCAGATGGAACATTTTCAATATGTAATGCTATTTAATTCTCCCCTTAAGCGAGTTAAATTCAATCAAAGGGCAAAAGTTTGTCAATGGGCCAATTTGAGTGACCATGAAATGTTCTCCAGCTACAGCCAAATGTAAAAATCACATTTGCACATCAGTTTATCAAATTCTTAAAATAGTTTAAGGACCATTTTTCTCCTTTGCTCTGCCTGGGTTGTAAAATATATTTTCAGACATTCCTTAATACAAAATGATTTATATTGCAATGATTTGTTTATCTCTGTCTCTAAAGCCCTTTCTCCCTCAATTCTATAATTTAAAAAATACATAACTAGAGATGGCAAGTTTATATTTCCTGCCCTCAAAATAGCCATTTTGAATATAGTCAAATAAATGAGCTGTTACCTAATATTGATGAAATTTTCATTTTAATTGCTTTATTTAAAGCACTGAAACTAAGAAGTTTTGGACATTTTAAAAAAAATTAGATTCTTATCTTCCTCTTCCAAAAAAGACATTATTGTATCTTAATTATATCACAGAAACAGTACCTGAACACCCTTGAGAATCATACTAGAAAAGCAAGTGGATAGTGACCCTTCTGGCCTCTAGCCGTTTGAATATACTGTCATTCACTCACTCCTTTTTCTAAGACACACCAACTTTCCATTTTAACTTCCACAGTGGAAAAACTAAAAATCAAAAAAGTATGACTGAAATGTGTCTAAAATATTACTAACGTGTATCTAGTGGTCCTAATGGCTGGGGCAAGCAAGCATCCTCATTTAAACTTCCATTGTGCAATAGGAAATTTGAAATATTTGGGAAACTAGAGCTACGATGTTTTAAAGTGAGGTTTGATCCAGGTAAGACCAACAGCTTAGATGCAAAAGCAGTGACACCTTTCCTTTCTCGCAATTAACCAAACTCGCTGACTCTTCCAAAAACAAAAACCAAACCAGAAATGCATCTGAATCACACTATTAGCTTCTGGGCAAGCCTGCAGCACCCCCCCCCCCCCTTTTTTTTTCTTTTTTCTGCATGAGGCATGCTTCTGTCTGTCTGACCAATCGACCAGTCTTGGTTCCAAAGCAGCGCCTCCTGCTTTAGAAACGTACAGCAGACAACTCTTAAGACAATCCAGTCAATGAAAAGTTGAGAGAAATAAACCCGCCCATCTCAAAACGGGTTTATTTCAAAAAGAGGCAAGTTTACAAGTGGTGTGCAAAGCCTTGGATAGCAGAGCTCGGAAAAAACAGTTTGTAACTTTGGGAGCCTTCCCTTCTGTTGAGCTTCTGTCTGAAAGTATCTTCTCTCTCTGTAGACAGAGCACACGCCCCCCTATGATGTGGTCCCGTCCATGCGTCCTGTGGTTCTGGTGGGCCCCTCACTGAAGGGGTACGAGGTAAGTCACCACAGTGAGCCTTCCCGTGGCCAGCTGCTCTCACTCCATGCCCCTTCCCAGAGCCTGGAATTTAAGTGCTCCTAGCAGTTAAACCTGTTTTCCCAGCGATGCTCGCTCTTCCTCTGTTGTTTTCCTTTTTGATAATTTTAAGTGTTTTTAATCAACGTGAACGACAGAGTTACAAAATTATGTTGAGCTGGCTCCTGACCATGATGGATGGTGCCAAAAAAAAAAAATTGAGATTATCTCAACAGCTGGCTAATCTTAAATACAATTTTTTTCACTTATTTAAAAAGAAAACTGGGTGGGCTGCATTGTTTCTGAGCCACACCCAGCTGTGTTTATGGCTTGGTCCTGATACGTAGGGATCACTCCTGGTAGGGTTCGGAGCTTGGGGTATCAGATGAGGTGCCAGTGATGGAACCTGGGAAAGGGAAAGTCTGGCTTTTCCAACCATCTTCAGAGGAATCAAAATTGTTTTTCTCCTACCGCAGGTCACAGATATGATGCAGAAAGCATTGTTTGACTTTTTGAAACACCGATTTGAAGGGCGGTGAGTAGTGCAGAATACTGTGTCTTTGTTTTGAAGTTTTATCAGTCCCGCTGGGACAGGCCTTGGAGCCCCAGAGAAAACTCGAGTCTCCATGGTGGCGGGAAAGAAGAGTCTGTCGGCTCAACCTGGTTTGATAGAAATCACTTGTATGAGCTCAGCACACCCCAGCTCTGGCTAATCCAGCTTGCTTTTGCTCTGTCTCTGGGCTCAACTAGTTGAATCACATGACTGCTCCATTTCTGTTTTTTTTTTTTTTTGGGGGGGGAGTTGCATACCTGGCTGTGCTCGGAGCTTACTCCTGGCTCTGTGCTCAGAGCTTACTCCTGGCTCTGTGCTTGGAGCTTACTCCCGGCAGGGTTCAGGGGACTATATGAGGTGCCATGGACCAAAACTGGGTCAGCCGCATGCAAGACCGGTGCCCTCTCTGCTGTACCATCTGTCTGACCCTCATTGCACATTTTTAGCAAGGTGAATGTGCCACCTCTCCTCTTCAAGCATTTTGTATTCCCATCCATACCCCAGCACTACGGAAGGCAGGTTTTTTTGTAGTTCCCGGTGATTCTCTAGATTAACATTTACTAGGTTATTTCTTCCTTGTCCATTCCTGCTCCTGTAGCCATTATAGACAGAGAGAGAACATATATATGGCCTATTTTAGTGATACAGTCTCACACTTTTTCCAAACATTTTCTAGTCATATTGACTTTTTAGCAGGGATGGCAAGAGCAAGGAGGGGAAGTTTTAAAGCAGGAAAAATACTGTCACTGATCAAGTAAAGGACTGAGAGAACCAAAGAGAAACACAGAAATCGTTCCCAGTTTTTTGTTTTGCTTTTTGCTTTAAGGCCCTATCATCGTCTACCTAACCAAATGCTCCTAATTAGATTTTTTGTTGTTGCTGTTTTCATAACTTAAAATATTTTCATTATTTTTTTGCCAGGAAACACAGCTTCATCCTTGGGCTCTTGGCTCGGGCCAGGCCTGTGCGCATCTGGCCGCATTTCAGAGGCGTCCGTGCCTCTCCTAGGCTCACTTAGCATTCACATCTTTCTCCCTGGCTCTGTCATTCACCACTGCTCGGAACTCTCCACACATGAACGTGCACACCCAGAAATTTCTGCTCTGCCCGGCACTGTTTCCTGTGACTGAGCACCCCCACTGCCCTTTCCTAAATGCCAAAAATGGGGAAATGGGTTGGAATTTCCTGACCTCACTTCTGTTGAAAGCAGAGTGAATTTTGAACTTGGCAGAGCGAATCCGACCCCAACTGTGTGTGCCTTGGGCCTGCATGCTGTGGGCTCAGGCCTCTAGGCTGGACTGGCGTTACTTAAAGAGCAGACACGCACAAGACCTGGACAGGGCATCGTCAGCGTACCCGCTGGCGCCGCCTCTCTGCCAGCAGGCCTTAGTTTTTTTTTTCCAATGTTTTGCTTGTTTTGGGGGGAGGGAGGTCACACCCAGCGATGCTCAGGGGTCACTCCTGGCTCTGCACTCAGGAATCACACCTGGTGGTGTTTGGGGGACCCTATGGGATGCCAGGGATTGAACCTAGGTCAACTGAGTGCAAGGCAAACACCCTCCCCACTGGATTATCACTCCTGCTTGGGCCTTTGTGATGGACCTTACCTTCTGCCTCTGGAGTCATAGGTCTGAAGTTTGATATTCTAGGTTGGTGATCACCAATTCAAATTATCAAAGGAAGTTGCAGGCTGATTTTTTATTTAGATTTATTTATTTATTTATTTATTTATTGGTAATGGAGGAGCTCTCAAGCTATGCTCAGGAGGGCTAGGGGACCCCTGGTATTTCAGTGCAAAGGCCTGAGGATGCGGTGCTGTCCGACCCTATGGTGGCAAAGATCATCAGCCACCAGGTGATGGCCTGGGGGACTGTGAGTGCCAAGAAGCCAACTCTGCTCAGGTGCCTGTGACACCTGCTTCCTGGCCACTCTCCCTCCCAGCCCTGAGGCAGAATTTGTAAAAACTGTACAGAAATGTGCCTTTTTGTTACTTGTGGCCAGTTTATAGAACGTCTTTGCCTTTGGCAAGCCCAGACAGCAATGAACTCATAAAAAACCTGAGAGGTGAGCTGGAGAGAGATCACAGGGGTTAGGACCCTGACTCGGGTTTGATTCTCTGCATCACATACTCCCCTGAGCCCTTCCAGGAGCCATTCCTGAGTACAGAGCCGGGATTTGATCCTGAGCACCGCCAGGTGTGGCCCTCCCAAATAAAAGCATCAGATAGGACCCAGGGATGTGGCCCTGGGCAGTGACATTTCTCAAGGCTGCAGGTTCAGGAACTGTCGCAGGGAGTGGCCACTTTCACGTGGTCCTCAGAGTAGTGCTCTGTCAGAAGGGAGCAAGCCAGGGACACAGGGACACTGTTAGCCACAGCTCCTCCCCCTGCCTAAGTAACTGACATTTCCAAGTATGCTCAGCCACTCTTGTCACTTCTTTGTCCAGGATAGTGCGTCTGGACAGCACCCAGAGTGCGCAGAGATGCAGCCCAGCCTTTGGCCCTCAGCCACACACGCCTGGTCCCACGAGTAGACTCTCACTCTAGCCTGGATCCCTGACCAGACCATCCATAACTACTTATCCCTCATTTCTATTTTTTTTCTCTTTTTTTTCCTTTTTGGGCCACACCCAGCAATGCACAGGGGTACTCCTGGCTCATGCACTCAGAAATTACTCTTGGCGGTGCTCGGGGGGCCATATGGGATGCTGGGAATCGAACTTGTGTCGGCTGCATGCAAGGCAAATGCCCTCTCCCCTATGCTATCGCTCCAGCCCCTATCCCTCACTTCTAGCCTCTGAACTAAAGCTCCCTTTGTTGAGGGGTTCTGTCCACCCTTGTCCTACATTGTTGGCTAAGTAACCCTAATCACTGCCCAACTTCTACTACCTGCTGCTCCACATTCTGTACTCTCTCCTCCCCTGAGGGCTCGGGGCCACCCCAGCACCCCCCAAACCACGATAGGCATGTAGGAGATACTCACTGGACCTGTGCTGAGTGAATGACTCCATCCTTGGCCTCGCTGCAGTTCAGCATACGGGGAATACAATTCCCTGTGGTACAGCCAGAGCCTCCATGATTGCGTGGCTGCAGTCCACGGCACGCCCTGACCAGACAGCACGTTTGTAAGCAGTTCCTAAGGCGGGATGTTCCCACTCAGAAAAGCCCGTTTCTGTGTGGGAATGCATGGAGGAAATGACATTAAATGTTTTGGATGGAAGGTTTTGGTGTCTTCTCTGGTTATTGCTTTTTATGTGGGAAAAAATTTCAGTGGCATACAACAAAGCTTAGAAATCAAATGTATTTAATTTTCCAAAAGACAGTCTTTTTCTGACCCAGCCGCATAAAGGCACCATTCAGCACAATGGGGTGGGACCTCAGATCGGGGATGTAAAGTAAAAGCTGGACACAGAAGCTGCGATGGTGTCTAGGAAAAGGGCAGAAGGAAAGGGATGAGACAGCCCTGTGGGTGGGAGAGATGCACCATGTGGTGGATCTAGAATTCTAGAAATCTCCTAATTCATACTTAGTATCTCTCAATGCCTAGATTTGACAGTATAGACATAATCTGTGTGTGTGCGTGTGTGTGTGTATGTGCGCATGTGTGTGCATGCACACACAAACCAGTCCCTCCCCACACTCTGCTTGGCTCACTTGGACCTGGCTAATGTGGATCTTTGACTCCTCTCCTCTACCTCATGTGGCTCTTTGAGTCAGCTGGGTAAGGCTTTCCCTCTCACCTTTCTGCCAGAGCAAATCCCGGGCTCTCTAGTGAACACTCTTCCCGTCCCTCCACAGCTGCCCACATCTCTTGTCCAGGCTCCATAGTTAGTGTTTACTATGGTCATGGAAGTAATATCACATCTCACTGAACAGACGTCATCACCACATAATCGTTACACCACATTTTTAAGTAATAATTGGTACAGCGTTTGTCAGCTTCTCATGTTCATTGCACCCCACTTTTTTACCACTTTTGCCAAAAAAAAATCTGGTATAACATCTGCAACAATTATGCTGTATTAAGTGAGGACTGTCAGGCACTCTCCACTTTTACTTGTGTTTCCCTAGTAGTTGTCCTGAGACAACCAACTCTACTTTCCATTGTGCGTCAGGTTCTCTGTCCGGGGCATAGCCCCATCCTCCTCTGGGTCTCCTAACAAAACGTTGGCATGAGCCCAGCAGGCTTTCAGCCTCGCCTTCTGGGAACACTGTGGCCTGCAGTATCTGGGCCAAGTTCTCAAGGATTTTTTTTTTTTTTTTGGTTTTGTTTGTGTGCTACACCCAGTGGTGCTCAGGGTTTACTCCTGACTCTGCACTCAGGGTTCACTCCTGGTGGGCTCAGGATACCATGTGGGATGCTGGGGATTGAACAAGGGTCAGCCACGTGCAAGTCCACTATTTTATCTGCTGTATTATCTCTCACTACACATCAGTCTTTATAGAGTAGCCCTATGCAGTTTTCTTGAGCATTAATTTCATCTTGTTCTTTATTGGATTTCTTTGTTACTTTGAATGGGTTTTGATTTTGGAGCCACACCTGAGGGTTCTCAGGAGCTAGTCCTGGCTCTGTGGTCAGTAGTGACCCCCGAGGGCCACCAGCAAGACATATGTCATGCCGGGGATTACCAACTCTCCAGCCCCAATTTCACCTTGTTTTAGTTGTTGGAACCCTTTTCTTTACTAGATCCCTTGATAGTTTTCAAGGTTTACCAACATCCTCCAACAGATTCCAGAGGGAACCCCAAAACAATTTTGAGTGCCTCACCTAGCAGTGCTCAGGAGCTACTTCTGGTCTATGCTCAAGTGCCCCCATGGTGGTACTCAGAGAACTATATGCAATGCTGGGAATTCGAATTAGGAGCAACACTGCATGCAAGGCGAATGCCTGCCCTTCTGAACTCTTTCCAGTGTCTAAAATCTTTTGAGACCCGAGTGTCTACAGATGACTTGGCTGAAGTCTCCCACTTATTTTTTTCTACCACCAAAATGCCAAACTCCCTCCAGCACAGTCTGTGGCCCCCGCCCTCCCTCTCCTCTTGTAACCACAGCTCTGCGGTCTGAGCTCTCGATTTGTTCCCATTGTCAACAGGGCCATATCCGTGATAGTTAAGGCAGTTATGGAATTCTTCTTGGAATGGAGCCCCTTCCGCTTTGGAGACTGCCATAGCTCCATCCACTTCTGGCTTCCGTGTTGTCTTTGAGAAATACCAAAACAATTATTGATTCTTTAGACCAAACCCTTTGTTTTTCTTCTCTTCTGGAAAATGTTAGCTTTCTTTGTCCACAGTGGCATGGATTTATAAAAATGCCTTTCATGTGGCACTTCCAACCTTTGTGCTGTACGTTCTTAGGAAAATCAAACTCATTTCTGGAATTATTAGTTTTCTATTTGCTCTTTTTTCTGGAACGTTTGTTATTTGGAAGTTGGACCTCTTGGATAATTCTCTATTTTTATTTGTTATTCTATGTGCAATCTCTTATTCTGGTTTTAACTTCATCTTCATCTTCTAACTTTAGATTTAACTTCATCTTCTAACCCTTCTCAAATTTTCACTCTGTGCTTATATATTTAATTTCCAAAAATCGTGACTTCTTTTGAGTTTTTTTAAATAGAAAAGTGCCCATTTCATGTGCAAGCCAGTGGTGTAATTGATAATGTGTCTGACACCAGATTAGAAAATTGTTTGTTTCTTTATGAAGAGGAGCGTTTTGGGGCCACACCCTGCAGTGCTCAGGGGTAATCCCTAGCTTTGTGCTCAGGAGTGATCCCTAGCAGTGCTCAGTTATGTAGTACTAGGGAGCAAAGCAAAGTCAACCGAAGGCATGCAAATTCCCACACTCTCTTCCGCCCAAACCAGTTTCATGGGCATAACATTTCTTAGCTTTCAGTTTTTAATATTACTCATGATTTTTGTTTCTGTCTGGGCTTCGTGTCAGCAGCTTTCCCAAGATACTGAGGGAACAAAGGTGTACTGAAGCACAAAATGGGGCACCAAGTAAACAGTTGGAAAGCTGTTCTCATTTGGTGGCAGCTTCCTGCATCCCTGTAGGGCCTCATGGGACGGTCTCCATAGAAGCTTTCAGTGTCATTGCCTTTTAGGTTTTTTCTGTTGGGTGGTCAGAGTCCCAAGAAGATGACTGTGTAGTCAAGGGAAGCAATAACCGTGAACAAAGAATTTCTACAAGAGACAGCGGGTCAGAGTACAGTTTTCCAATCCCTCTTCCTGCTGCTGTCCCTGGTCCCTTCTCTGCTTAGGGTCCCTTGGTTTGAGGCCCTCTACTTTCTCCCTCATAGAAATAATGTGGGGCTGGAGCAACAGTACAATGGGTAGGGTGTTTGCTTTGCACATGGCCGACCCAGGTTCGATTTCCAGCATCCCATATGGTCCCCCGAGCACTGCCAGGAGTAATTCCTGAGTGCAAAGCCAGGAGTAACCCCTGTGCATTGCTGGGTGTGACCCAAGAATAATAATAATAAAAAAAAAGTATGGACTCATATGGGGACTGGATTAGCACCAGGAGCCTGGCCGTTGCTGAAAGGAGAAATAGAATTTTCCTCTGAAATAGATATTTGCTAAAATATATGATATGATTCCCCTCTCTGCTGCCCAACTCCTTCTGCATTCTTGTAAGCCCTCAGGTGATGTGTATATTCAGCCCTCTCCAAGTGAAGCCACTGATTCCAAGTTCCAACTGTTGCTTCTTCACTTCTCCCCTTACAACAATCCTCTCACCCAATTTATCTTTCTTTAAACTGACAACCTATATATTCCCTTCACAAATCATCTTAAATCTTTAATCACTTTGTGAACTGTTTTTCTTATTCACCGTCTCTGTTGTAAGACCTCAGCCCTGGGTGGTGGTGGGGAGGGGCGGGGGGAGGGGGGTGTTAAAAGATGAAGGCCTTGCTGATTTTGGCCTTATTCATTTCCATACCCACCATAAGCACACAGGCTCCTGGACATCTTGGGTCAAACCCCAGCTTCATGAATTTTACTAGATGGCCTTCCAGAAATGATATACCAAAGACTCATTTTCTTCATTAGTAAAAGTAGGATAATAATAAACCTTTCTGCTTGTGTGGGGGGATGATATAATACAGATAATGAGATAATGCTCAGTATCAACTTAGCACTCGCTATACAACCGACTAATGTTCACTTATGCGACTGCAGAGAAAACACCAGGAATGAGGTGTGCCCTGATATTTTCTGAACTTGAAAGTAGGATTGCTCTTTGTTTTTCACACATTGATGGATGTTGGGCATGCTTTTGTTCCTCTTTTTATCGTTCATAACCTGGGTGTCTTTTGCTGCTTCCCCCTCAACAGGATCTCCATCACCCGGGTCACTGCAGATATCTCACTCGCCAAACGCTCAGTGTTGAACAATCCCAGTAAGCACGCAATAATAGAAAGATCCAACACGAGGTCAAGCTTAGGTAAGTCCATGTGCTGCTGATGAGCTTCAGCTATGTAAATACTTGTCCCCTGAGGATGCCAGTGAAAAGATCCAACTCGATGATAATTCCATGTGTCACCGAGCAGAACAGAAAAGGGCACCGGGTGCCAGTAGCTAATGCCACAGTCTCAGTGATTTCACGGTCGGAAAGGATGTGTTATGATAGCTGTGAGTTCAGATTTCTAAGGCTGTCAGGATGAATGTTTTGGCTGTGTGGTTTGTTTATGCTCATGTGAGCTTTGGTGTCTGCAGACTCTGAAACTCCTGGTCTGTGTCAGTGAGGCCATTGACCTCTTTAAGGCCCCGTTTTGTCGTCTTATGAGATCATCTTGACAACCTTGTAGATTGACTCTTAAGGAGGAAATGTAGTCATCTCCACAAGGGGTTTTGTTCCCAAATCCCTTGTGCTTGAATTATATCACTAATGATATTTTATTCAGGATTGTGTGTTGAGCATATAGGTGTCTATGTAAAGGGTGATGTCAGTTTCTGCCTATTTTCCACTGGCGGGTATCAGTATTTCTACTTTAGTGATAAAATGAGGTAGAGATTTCAGTTGGCCTGTCTGAAAAGCTATGTTTGGGAACATTATTAACACGTACTAATTTAGTCAAATAAATCTGACTGGCAACTATTCCATCTCTTTGAGTTATGCCTGGAGCCACAGGTTTTATAAATTTTCTGATCGTGTGACATATTCAATCTTGGTTATCTTTTCTAATTATATACTAAATAAACACGTGTATATTTACTTACATATTGTATGTTGAGAGTTAAAACATTTTTTTAATTTAAAAGATTTCCCTTCTCTGCTGTTGTAATGACCAGGGTCAGACACCAGGTGGCGGTAGCCACACCCTTCCCCTTGTGCTTACACTGATGCAGCTCCAGACTCAGTTGACATGTGGGCTGTGCCAAGAATTGTAGTGATCTCAGGGCTTGAAAGGCAAGAGCACTACCACAAAGTCATCCCAGGCTCCCTAGAATCTAGTTTTCAGCCTAGAAACGTTTAATTTTCCTCTCAAATCTATGGAATAAGTAACTGTTACTGAAAATAATATACAATGGGGCAAGGCTCAGTGGCAGAGATACTTCACCCCTGGCTTCGATCCCCAGCATTCTCTCCAAAAATAATCAACTTTATCTGTGAGTAACAAGTGCGACACTACAAAACACAATCTTGTTCCTCGCTCATAGCTCCACCTCGTCTAAAATAGCAGTGAGAGAGAGCCTTAGAAATATAGGATGATGGTTTGCATACCGAACTCTCTCTGCTCTTAGTCAAATTAATCTGACTGGCAACTATTTCATCTCTTTGAGCTAAGCCTGGAACCACAGGTTTATCACTGTGCATAGAACTTCCGTACATATAAATTTTCTGATCTTGTGATATCTTCAATCTTGGTTTTCTTTTCTAATTATATATTAAATCACTGTGTCACTGTCATCCCATTGTTCATCGGTTTGCTCGAGTGGGCGCCAGTAATGTCTCTATTCGTCCCAGCCCAGAGATTTTAGCAGCCTCTCCTTACTCGTCCTTCCCAACAGTGCCATACTGGAGGCTTTTTCAGGGTCAGGGGAATGAGACCCGTTATTGTTACTGTTTTTGGCATAAATCCATGGGGGAGCTTGCCAGGCTCTGCCGTGCAGGCGGGATACTCTCAGTAGCTTGCTGGGCTCTCTGAGAGGGAGATAAAGTTATTAAATAGACACATGTATGTGTACCTGACCCTCAAAACTTCCTCTACTCTAGTCCATGTTGACAGGAACCACTGAAAGACTTACTGACTGGATGGAAAAATAATGGAGTTCATCTATTTAGACTGACCAGTTAAATGATGGCGTAGCAGCTTTCTTTGCATTAACAAGACAAGACATTTCTAACTCCCAGCTATAAATCACTGTTTTGTTTTGGGGAGGTTTCCCAAATAATACTTTGGGGACTTGGGGGGATTCTTGGCCAGCTAGCCTAGTGACCCAATACACGGGTCCAAAGACGCAGTACAGCTTAGACCCCAGTACAGCCAGGAATAACTCAGGCCACCCCATCAGTGGTCAAGGGTTTCCAGGGCCACACCTGGACATGCTTGGGAGGCCATGTGGTGCCAGGGATCAAACTGGACTCATGCAAGACAAGTACCTTAGCCCCTGCACTCTTTCTCCAGCTTCATGCTTTCAGTGTTTGTTGCACCTCACAATGTTGTGCCTTTGCCAGGCGAACACATCATTTTCTACACTCTAATATATCAGTAAACCACAGCTTTGCCAACCTTAAGGCTTTATGAAGTTTGGGGAGTTACTGCATCTCTGTGTTCCGAAGGAGTGAAACACATCTGTATTTAAGTATCAACACCAAAATCTCTGCTTAAAGTCCTTTTTATTACCCCTTAAAACAATTTCTACGTAGTATATTTTTCTAAGTCTGTATGATATGGTATATATAATGTGGTTTTATTTTTAAAATATATTAACACATCAGGGGCTTGCTAAAATTAAATCAGGACTTATGATCCAGTTTTTCTGAGCAGCTGTGAAGTGTGTGTATGGAAGAAAGCTAAAATGTGGGACTAAGTTTCAAGGCAGAGGCAAGTTATTAAAAAATTCTTTTATTCAACAATTTATTAGCCTTTAACTCTGTTTACCCAAATCCCAGTACGGTGGCAGTAAATATGGAGAGTTTATTATAAAAGCCCTTCCCGTTGTATATAGGTTTAGCAGAAATTTTGAGAATGCTTCAAATGTAATAGATCACTTGCAGCAATTACACCTTTTTTTACAAGAGTGGAAAATCCAGCACAATTTAAGAAGCAAAAGCAATCTTTCTGTAAGTTTGGAACCTGGCAATAATACAGCATGTTATCTTTGGAGCCCATTTTGCTTATATGCCATAGTATGAAGAAAAAAAAAAAACCCTGAGAACATGGAAGCTTTAAGTACATCCTTAGATTTTTGAAGGGGACACAGGACTTTTTGCATGTAGAAATGGTGTTATATAGGCTCATGAAAGTTCTAGCTTTCTTTCTCAGTTATAATAAAACTTATTTCAGAGTGAAGGTTTATAGCAAAAAATAAATTAAGTCCCATAGATGAAAACTATCCTGGAGCTAACTTTTCTCACTGGCTGGGTAGAATTCCCTAAGACCTTGGGGGTGTGGCAGGATGCCCTTCCTCGGCTCTACTCTGTGCAAGCATCAACCTAATAATGGCCGATGCACCTAGAAACAGTGTACCATATCACCTTGATCTCAGTTGGGTCTAAAATCACCATACTTTCAGTATCATGCTAAGCAAAATGAAGTCAGAAAGAGAGGGACAGACATAGAAAGATTGCATGCATCTGGGGAACGTAAAGTAACAAAATAGGAGAGTAACACCCAAGAATAGCCGAGATAAGTACCAGGAGGTTTACTCCATGGCTTGGAGGCCAGCCACATGCGCTAGGGGAAAAGGCAGCTCAGATAGAGAAGGGAGCACCAAATAAAGGGTGTTGGGAAGATCCGCCCAGGATTGGAGATGCATGCTGAAAGTAGACTACAGACCGAACATGATTGCCACTCAATGCCTCTTTTACAAACCACAGCACCCAAAAGGAGAGAGAGAGAGCAAAAGGGAATGCCCTGCCACAGAGGCAGGGTGGGATGGGAGGAAGATAGGGGGATGGGAGGGATACTGGGATTAGTGGTGGTAGAGAATGAGCACTGGTGGAGGGATGGGTACTCGATCATTGTATAACTGAAACCCAAGCACAAAAATTTGTAAGTCTACAACTGTACCTCATGGTGTTTCACTAATAAAAATTAAAAAAATAAAGTTAAAAAAATAAATAAAACTAGAAATAAAAATGAAAAATAAAATTATATCACCATACTTTCAAATAACCAAATTCTCCTCAATCTTTCACAGCGGAAGTTCAGAGTGAAATTGAAAGGATTTTTGAACTTGCAAGAACGCTGCAATTGGTAGTCCTTGATGCAGACACTATTAATCATCCAGCTCAACTTAGTAAAACCTCTCTGGCCCCGATTATAGTGTATGTAAAGATCTCCTCTCCGAAGGTAAGCTGGATTGCTGCTGTGCCTCTGGAATCAAGCTTTAATTAAATATGTGTAGGTTCTACTTTGTAGTTACAGCATAATAGGAATATTTGGTATAGCTCGTAGTCAAGAATTTTTAAAATTCTTGTAAAATTAGGACAGTTCTCAAACTGTGGTCCAAGAGACTTCCAGAGTCAATGCTTGGTAAAACCTAAGACATCCTTTTTTACTGTTTGACATTTAAACCTATCTGTCACTGTCCTTCCACTGTTCATCTATTTGCTCAAGCGAGCCCAGTAATGTCTCCATTTTGAGACTTGTTGTTACTATGTTTGGCATATTGAATACTCAGGGGGGAGCCTGCCAGGCTTTGCCGTGCAGGTGAGATACTCTGAGTAGCTTGCTGGGCTCTCTCAAAGGGGCGGAGGAATTGAACTCGGGTCAGCTGAGTGCAAGGCAAATGCCCTACCCGTTGTACTATTGCTGTAGTGCCAAACAACAAATACTATTTATTGTCAATAACAAAACTCAGACTTTAAAAGAAAACCCAGAGAACCTGCCTCCACCTTAGAGTTTCCCCAACACACTTTTCCTACTAGATCAATAAATATGTTCTAATGTTGCATAAAAATGTGTCAACATTTGGAAGATCTGAAAAACTCACTGGACTATTATTTTCCAACTGATCAATGACCATTACAGAACATTCGTGGTTAAAAATCCCCAAGTATCCGTGGTGGTGGGAAATGGGCACTGGTTGAGGGATGGGTATTTGATCATTGTATAATTGAAACCCAAGCACAAAAATTTGTAAGTCTACAACTGTACCTCATGATGTCTCACTAATAAAAATTAAAAATAAAAAATCCCCAAGTTTCAGATAAACCACTGAAACAATGTAAGAAAAAGTTCACTGATATGACTTTATGAAACAAAAAGCTTTGTAATTTCTGGCCTTGAGAAAACACCATGCTGGGTATTTTAAGGGCCTACAAATGATATACGTATGAATTTTACAGATAATCTTAATTATATCTTACAACTCAATCTGTTACTAGCTATCAGTGCTGCATATAAACAAGCCTGAAGAATCCAGAGGTTTTAGGGAGTCCTGAGACAATGATGGGGGAAGTAGACACGCTGGTGGAGGATATGAATGAAACTATCATGAACAGTATTGTAAATCATGGTGCCTCAAATTAGGACTCTTTAAAGCCACAAGGAATTATTACTAAATCTTAAAGTTTATCCAAGTGCATATGGTTTGTTTTATAAGTTTATCTTTTCTAGGTTTTACAACGGCTAATAAAATCGCGAGGGAAATCTCAAGCTAAACACCTCAATGTCCAGATGGTCGCAGCTGATAAACTGGCTCAGTGTCCTCCGGTGAGTTCTCTTTATGCTCAATATAATCCCGGTAAGAGATCAGATTTGTACTTTAAAATACTGAGGATTGGGGCTGGGGAGAGTGTGCCAAGGTTAAGGGACTGCAAACTGGTTTTGGAAACCAGGCACCTCATGTGGTCCCTGGTCGAGTGTTGCCCCAGAATACATATACCAAAAAGTGGGGTTAAAGAACCAAAGAGATAGCTCAGTGGGCAGAATGCAAGTAGGAAGCAACTCCTCCCCTAGGGCCGTGATCTTCAGCCCAAGGATATGCCCTCTCCTGCAGGAGCACTCACTGTCTGGCAGACAGAAAATGTAAGACAGTGACAGAACAGCTAATTATCATCCTGCAAGAATCAAGGCTGTCCTTTATTGTTCACCTGCAATCATGAAAAGTTGCCAGCTCTTAATAACTGAGACATTGACATGAAGCTTTGTTTAAAAAAAAAAAGCAAATTTTAAATGCAGTGTGATTCCATCCAATAGTTTATACTTTACATACCATGTGCTGGGGTCAGAGGTTACTCCAATCTGTTTCAGCAGTTGTTCCTGAAGCTGAAGAATTTTAACTGGACTATGGTAAACACTTAGAACTACTTGAAATTTGGACTGTGTCAAACCATCACTAGCTACAGTTTCTGCCAAATTTCATGCCCCAGCCTGGATTCATTAATCTCCCAAATGAAGCCACTTGCAGTACTATTGAAATTTTCTGATTCACATCTCTTTTCTGCCATACCCTTAACAAATAACTCTCCCTGCTCACCTTTTCCTGCTGCTTTAGAATACTGGATACTCTATTATGATTTGAGATAGGCAGGCATGATCTTAAGAAATGGGAGTAATGGAAACGTACAAGTGGTGCCCCCCGAGGCCTCTTTCCTCCTTCCATGATACTGGCTCAGGGTGACGTGGGAGTAGGCATGGGGCTGGTACAGTGTTTGCCTCTGCAGGAGTTGTTTGATGTGATCCTGGATGAGAACCAGCTCGAGGATGCTTGTGAACACCTTGCCGACTATCTGGAGGCCTACTGGAAGGCCACCCACCCACCCAGCAGCAGTCTCTCCAACCCACTTCTCAACCGGACGTTAGCCACATCCACGCTGCCTCTTAGCCCCTCTCTAGCCTCTAATTCACAGGTAAGGAAGCTCTTTACGGCTCTTCACTAAGCAGCTCTCTAACTTAAAGTTCCATCGCAGGGTCCAGCCCCAGGGAGCCCGAGCACACCTTGTTTTGTAGGACAGTTCTACTCAGCCCGAGAACAGCATTGAGTCTCTCAGAACCTTCAGCCTGAGCTGTACACCTGTGAGAAAACCAGAGGAAATAGGCCACTGCATACACACAAACAGACCTCAAAACTCCCTATGTGCATTAAAACAGCATTTCACAACTGGAGGCATACGGCCTCCACGCTATTTCAAGGGGAGGGGGGTGTTACAGATGAAAAGAAATGGTGAAACGCTGCTCTAAAAGACAGGGGTTGGTGGATTTTCTACATGGTGAGCAGCAAGTAGTGGAGGTGGACCACCTGCCCTTTGTTTTACCCAGTATATAACCTCGGATAAATTCCTTTTCTGCTCAGGCCCTATGTCAACCTCTCTCTTCTGATAACGAAGTCAGATGACACAGCATTGTTCTGAGACATGTCTTATGGTATTTCCTTTTCAATTCCCCACGTATAGCCAAATAGCAGTGGTAACATCTATACCACAAGAACATAAAAATCTCAGGGACCTCTGGGCAGAGGGGAAATCTATCTGAATCCCATCAGAAGAAATCGAAGACCTTCCCATTTTACTATTCTGTGTATTATAAATGAACATGTAGTATAAAAAGCAATCCACTAAAAAGTGCCAGTGGACACTAACCAGAGAACAAAGACAGTGAACTAGGTTAGATTTCATTTCAGCATATTACATGAAATTTGAACTCTTAGTAATTCCTTATTTGCTGATCCTGGCCAATGCCCCCTTCCCTGCCAGGGTTCTCAAGGTGATCCGAGGACAGATCGCTCTGCTCTGGCCCGTTCTGCCCCCCGTGCTGAAGAAGAGCCCTGCCTGGAACCAGCCAAGAAATCCCAGCACCGGTCCTCCACACAGCATCACAATCACCGCAGCGCTGTGAGCCGCGGCCTCTCCAGGCAGGAGACATTTGACTCGGAAACCCAGGAGAGTCGAGACTCTGCCTATGTGGAGCCCAAGGAAGATTATCCCCACGAACACGTAGACCACTATGCACCACACCGTGAGCACAACCACGGGAGCAGTGAGCACAGACACAGGGAGACTCGGTACCGTTCCAGGGATCGAGAGCAGGACCACAATGAGTGCAACAGACAACGCAGCCGTCATAAATCCAAGGATCGCTATTGTGACAAGGATGGAGAAGGAATATCAAAAAAACGGAATGAGGCTGGGGAGTGGAACAGGGATGTTTACATCCGCCAATGACTTGTGCCCTTTTGTGTGTGTGTATGGTTTTTTTTTTTAAGTCTTGTATAACAGCACCCCCAAACTAATTCTTTGGGGTCCACATTGCAATCATATGTGATGTCTTGTATATTTTTTATTGCTGTTGCTTGAATAGCAATAGCATGAAATAGAGTATTAATATACTTTGTTTTCTTTTGTAAGTAGTATATGAATTTGCCTGGTACAGCTGCAGTCCTCCGGTTATGCTGGACTTTACAGAAACTGGTACAGCTGCCACTTGAACAAAATCTGTTGCCATCCAGATGGCATTAGTATTTTCAGAAATGTAGTGGATGTGTCCAGCAAGCCAGAATCAGCCCAGATAAAGAGTGGTAGGTACCTGATTTGCATATTCATTCATCCATGGACACTGTTGCTAGTACCTCTGGCTGACTAAATTTGGGGACAGATTCAGTCTTGCCTTACACAAAGGGGATCATAAAGTTAGAATCTATTTTCTATGTATTAGTACTGTGTACTGTATAGACAGTTTGTAAATGTAATTTCTGCAAACACCTTCTTATATATAATATAATATATATATATATCAGTTTGATCACACTATTTTAGTCTTAATGCCAAGTCAGCAGTTTCTTTGAATTACAGGGACTAGAAGTGCCCACATTCAGGAAATTTGTAAAAACATCATCTAGACACCTATCCCCATTCAAGTAGGAAGATTGTACATACTGTAAATATGTGTGATTGCTTGACTTGAAAAGGTTTGATTTCTTATGTTTTCCCATTCCTGTAAGTATATCATTTTGACCATAAATTATGGCAAATATAACCAAACTCCAAAGGCTGTTTTAAACCCGTACGATTTCACACTGATTGTGATCAACACCTTCTTAGTAGCTAGTGTCTGAGGTCACTGGAGTATACGAGCCAGAACTGTATGCACGTGTGTGCGGCTGTGTGAAGTGTGACTGACTTGAGAGATGAATCTAATGAAGAAACTAAACTGAGAACTAGAATTCTGCCCACCCGGCTGTGCATTTAACTGTGCTACGTGTTGTTTTCGTGATGGATCAAGTGGTCAGGGATGTAAGGAAACTTGCTGCCAAAGGGGATAAGGGAAAGCATTCGTCTTGCTGGCTCCCGGTGTCTGCCCCTAGAGAAAAAGTACAGGCAACTTTCAACTGTGTTTCACTGGAAATGTACAATCTTTGTGTGTTCGAGTATTTGTTTTGTGAGAAATGTTTACACAGCTTGTAGAATTATTTTGTGGGAAAATAAATTTTTCTAACTTCTCCCACTTCCTTCCCTAACTGTACCCATCACTCCTGTTGTCTCCCGCTCACCTGCCAGCTAACCCCTCACCACCAATTCCCAACAATTTCATTGTCTGTTAAAACCCAGAAGTGCTTCTTAGAACCAAAGTTTCTGCTCTCCAGAAGTGATCAGGGGGAAATGGGGAGAGAGATGAAGTCAATAAAATGTTTAAAATATTTTCCTACACCTGTTCTGAAGGGGAACCCAGGAGAGACTAGCTACCTGTCTCAGCTGTCCTGCTGTAAGCAGCTCACAACGTGGTTATCGCTCAAAGACTGAAACCGCCCCTGTGTCTCTTACATGCCCATCTTTGTCCAATTATGACTGATCAGTATTAGATGTACAAGTACCTAACACTTGAAGTTTGTATATGCATACTATATAATTATTATTGTTAAAAATAGATCAACCTATTTTGCTGGATTATTCCAAGCTCTTGCCAAATATCCTTGAGCCTTTATAAGTAAAATCATTTCATATCTAACTCATTCATTCCCCCTTCCCTCAAGAATACTTTAAAAAATTAGTTTACATATATAAGTTTTATCCAGTAATATGAAACATTTCCCTGGTTAATTATACTATGGGAAAATTAAATATAAAAAATCATAATATATATAGCTTTGCTCTAAAATGTTCACTTCATTAGAAGTACATATTCCAATTTAAGTACTTTCATAAAAAATATTTCTGATACATTTCCTTCATGGTAAGCATCAGCTACATTGTTCCCTACATGAAATTTTATCTCAACCAGCCCCACTGTTCCCTACACACAATTTTATCTCAACAACTTTGGAATATTTAAATTCTTAAATTCTTTCAAGTACTACCTTGCTACTTGCTGCTACCATAAATCCCTTTCAAAGAGTTATACTAACGGATGATCAAAATTTTGTTTTCTTTAAGTTTTATCTTTGGATTCCTAAGTTTCTCACTTGACTGTGAAAAATATGTTAGTCTGAATCAAAATATTCCTCAAAAGCTCTATTTTGTAGTTGAGTTTGAGTTGACATAAGCACTTCTATGTGAAAACTCCATAGTGGGTATATGTGTAAACTATGTGTGCTATAAAATCTGCACAAAATTTTAAAGAGAAGAAATAATCCTTAGTGGGATACTTACAGAACATACAAACATAGTCTCTTCATACAACAAAGGTTTAATTTTAACCTACTCAGCTATAGAATCATTAATGTAGTTAGCCTAGAAAATTCTAAAAATGTTGACAGTTTTTTTTTTTTTGGTCAAGCCCATTTCACTTTTTCTTATACTCTTTCTCTACTGCTTATTTAAATTAATGTTACAAAACGGTGCTGCTAAATGTAGGACATATTAGTCATACTGTACTTTGGGACAATGCCACATTTTTAACACTGCTATGCATTCCCGGTAAACAATAACTGTCAGCTACACTGAACTGTTCAACAAATATGGGTTCAAGTAATTCATATAAAATAAATAAAGAGCTGGCTTCTGTACTGTTTACTGTTAGTAGCAGCATTGATTACGATCTTACAAAAGACTCTTAAAGTAGAGAATGGTAAACATTCCACAGGACTACAGGTAAACTTCACTTCACAGGGTTAGTGAAGACCATTTGCCCTCCATGTGCCCGGCCGAGTTTGATTCCTGGCACTGCCAAAAATAAATTGACATATTCAATTCCACTTGCCCCTGGGGAATGTCTTAAAAGCAATGCCAGTCACTGATGTTCCTTTAGTGAGCTCATTATGTTGATTTAAAAAAAATAAGGATTTCAGGTAGGTAAAGGATCTATTAAGATGTAAGAACAGCTCTCCCACCTTAATTCTATATTTGCAACAATTCTTTACTCAACTTAAAATTTCATTACTCACTTTTACAAGAGAGATTTACTTTAATTCCTCATACATGTCCCTTTACACAATGATGTCCATACTGATAGTCTTAGATGCTCTGATCTTATTAAAACTCCAAGAGTCAGTGTTAGAAAAATAAAAAACAGGTAACTAGATGGTTCTGGGTCAGTTGTTTCATTATGGCTAAGTTATATTTTTATCTATTTGTATTTCACTTTGCTATTTAAACTAACGTGATAACAGGGTTTTGAAGTGTACTCACTGTTGAATTTAAATGCTCTTCTGTTTTGCAGAAATATATGTTAATACTTAATGGTAAAGATAATATATTAATTTTTTCTCCACATTTCCTGATTTTTTTCTTTATTGTATTTCTCTTAAATTTCTGTGTTCCTTTAAAATTGGATATTTTTAGTTAGTTTTTATTTTCCCATTTGCTCTATTTAAAGGAAAGAAACTCACTAAAAATGTTGAAGAAAAATTTTTGTCTAATACTTGCCCTCATGGTTTTAAATATGCAAATATTTATTTTTGTTATGTCTAAATTAATTGCATATTTATTGCTAGGCTGAGTCTCTACGATTTTTATTCCAGCTTCACATATGAGACTTTCCAGAGAGCCTTAGAAAATATGTAATTTGTAGATTTTAAAAATACATTTAAGGGCCAAAGCAATAGCACAGCAGGTAGGGGATTTGCTTTGCATTCAGCCAACCTGGGTTTGATCGCTGGCATTGCATGTGAGCAACCACTAAGAGTGATTTCTGAATGCAGAGCCAAGAATAACCCCTGAGCATCACCAGTGCTCAAAACAAATAAAATAAAAACGAAACAAATAAAATAAAATAAAAATACATTTAAGAGCCGGAGAGACAGTGCAGCAGGTTAAGGGTCTTGCCATGCACATGGCTAAACTGAGTTCAATCCCCAGCACTCTATATGGTTTGCCGAGTGTGTAAACTCAAGAAAGGGGCACAGCTGCGGCGGCGGTTCTATCTCTCCCGCCACCTTCGTTCGGTAGTCTCACCCTTCTTCCCCCACCCCGGGGAAGTCGATGGCGATGGGCAGGCGAAGGAAGGAAATGAAGGCCAGGGTGGTTGGTCTTAGTCGCAGTTTATTCCAATCCTCTCTCCATCCACACCAGTCTCTCTTCTCTGCCTCTGCATCCCCTTGCCCATTCTACAGTCTCATTATATCTCTCCAGATGAGGGATTGGGGTAACAATTACACACAGGTGCGGTCACAATCAATAGGGGTAGAATTCTTTCCCTCAGGGAAAGCCACTCCTAGGACAGATCCTCTCTCAGCAGGACGACCCACCCTAGAGCGGAATCCCATGAGAGTGTTTCTCCTCTCCTTGTCCGACAAGCATATAAGCATATATAATATAAATCATTTTGTATGGATACAGTAAGAAATATCTTAAACTTATAGAATTGCCCTCCTAGGGCCATCTCGATCTCAGACTACAGTGCTCAGGCCAGATAGTCTTTCCCACCCCTAGCAGTATCCTAGTTTCGTCGTTACTTTTGGATCATGACAGCATTTGTCTATGATCAAACTCTTAACTTATAGTTAAAAATCGTGGCACTTTGGCCTGGCCCATTTCGATGCCAGGGTAGCTCACCACTTGCCCTGGGTCCATTCAGTCCCTCATCAGGACCCTGCTTTCGGAGTGTTAGGAACTAAGGGCAACTGAGGCTTAAGTCGAGGAAGCAGATGCCTGGGAGTGAATAATATTCAAAGCCAATTAAATCCTAAGTTACAAAGCATAATGTTAATGGTCTTCCTGTATCCATACAAAAAGGGCATTGCTTTAAAGTAAACTGTTCAGGGGCTGGAGAGATAGCACAGTGGGTAGGGCATTTGCCTTGCATGTGGCCGACCCGGGTTCGATTCCAAGCATCCCATATGATCCCCTGAGCACTGCCAGGAGTAACTTCTGAGTACAGAGCCAGGAGTAACCCCTGTGCATCGCCAGATGTGACCCAAAAAGAAAAAAAAAAAGTAAACTGTTCATAAGGCCTAAGGAGAGGAGAAAGGCAATATTTCACTCATACATATAAAATCATAGATTTCTGAGGAATCTAACCTTACAAATTAACAGTCTTATTAGGGGGAAAACTGATTAACTGGTTGGGGAGGAGAGCATAGGGAAGAATTTACAGATAAACACAATGGAATGGAAATGCCTCAGGAGCACTGTGATGGGTGTAACCAGATAAACCTAAGCTCCTTGTGGAGAAAGGACAAAGCAATGTCATCCTACAGCCGAGCACCATCAGGAGTGATCCCGAAGCTCAGAGCCAGAAGTAAGCTCTGCATACTGGTGTAGCCTAAGCTACACCTCACAAAAAGCCAGTAAATAATTCGTTTAATCAAATACTTACTAGACGTAATGCAGAATGTGGGACAGAAAGAAGTCAGTCACATATTTAAATCTTACAGAACTCTAAACTAATAAATAAGCATTCACTGAGGGTTGTCACAGAGAAAAGATGGGCTCCCTCCCTCCAGGGTTTTCCCAGTTCAGGGGAGCAGTTTAGATTCCTAGGGGTAGAGTAGATGGAATGTATTAAGGGCCACAAAAGCAGTGGAAGAAAAATGTTCAAGAAAGCCTTCTTCAGAAAGAAGGCTACTTAAAGATCTTACCTTTAAGACACTAGCAATTCTGATGGATAAAAGAAATAGCTATGAGAACTTCCTAAGGAAACCCTATAAAAGAGAGGAAACTATTAGACAACTGTTCCCAAATGTCCACTTGATGTGCTCAAGGCCCAGCAATCTGGGGATGACCTGAAAGTTAACAGAGCTTATGTAGTTAACATTATGAAACAGTCTTCAAACTGCCCTGCGTTATCTTGATACTCTGACCTAAAAGGCAGGTAGCATAAAGCAAGCTTCAAGTTCTAGCTCATTTTTCAAAAGGCAGTCACTTTTACTGGCCACACTAGGATATGCCTAGTGATATTTTTGTCTGGATTCAGTTTTGGTTATGAAGTGGATTTATTGTCCTGTTTTGTCTTTATCATACGCATAGATGTCTTGCCTGATGGAGGTCTCCTGTGAGACATTTTACATTCAACAGGAAACTCTAGGACCCAAATGTACATGGCAGGCCAGCTACCAACTGTCAGAAGCTGGGTTTCTCTACCACCAATCACATCTCTAATAGCACATGTGTGCTGGTGGATGATAAAAGCTACCCAAATTGTAGGATGCTTTTGTTTAAAAGTATGAAGAAGAAAAAAGTGACAGTAAAGGCATAGCACCATTTCAAAATGTTTTAGACTTCATTTGAGAGGAGTTGAAAGGCTACAGCAATAGACAGCGGATAGGGCACTTGCCTAGCATGCGGCAGTCAGTTTGATCCTTGGCACACCACATGGTTCCCAAAGCCTGCCAGGAGTAATTCTTGAGTGCAGAACCAAGAGTAAGCCCTGAGCATTGTAGGTGTGCCACAGCCATCCACCCCACAAATAAAAACATGAAGAGGCTTGAGTGACCAAATATTAAGAAAAGTCAGGTAACATATGCAGATATTAGCACAAGGTGAATGCTATACCTTCCATTAGGACTCAGGAATAGGAAAAAATTTCCAAATTTTACATTACTAATTTTATTTCTTTTGTGAGATTTGATGATTTTAACCTTAAAAGTCACATTCTTTATAAATACAAACCAGATGAGTCCAAATGAAAACATTTCACACATCTATTGGCATGTCCTCTTCTTCATACTCTACTAAATCAACGAAAATTCTTCCCCAAACATAAGATGACTTTCTTTCTGTCTGTCCCTGGTGAAGGTCTCTGGCACCTGTTTTCTTACAGCTGTGCCACCAGTCACCAGCAACAATAAGGTTTTTTAGAAAAACAAACAAACAAACAAACAAGGCTGAAGTCATAGTTTTCAGCACATGATCGCTTCCCTTGCACATGCCTGACCTGGATTCGATTCCCGGCATTCCATATAGTGGCCTGAATCCTGCCAGGGGTGATCTCTGAGTACAGAGGCAGGTGTGGCTCCAAAACAAATACAGACACACAAGAAAGCCTAACAACCCACAGATGACGCTTCCTAAGCCTCCTTTGAGCTTTCACATTTTAGGAATTTCGCAACAAAAAAGCCTATGCAATCTTTATTTGCCAGTTGGATCAGGTCGTCCTGGCTGGCCTCCCCGAGAGAGGCAAAGTCAGTGTCTTGCAATGGCACAGCAGAGGGATCAAATCGCTGCAGCTGTTTCAAGTGTTCAGATGACAGTCCAGCTCCCATCATTCCTGCTCCTCCAAGCTGTGGCTCCTGTTTTGAGAAAATGAGCCAGTATGAGCATGCATCCCATTCAGAGAATGCCTGTGTATGTGGATGTTAAAAGGTGAACTGGACTGCAATCAAACAAATTCTAGAGAAGAAGGAATGAAAATAACTTTAATTTCTGTGGGATGCAAATGCTGTTTGCTCACTAAAACAGTCAAGTAGGGAAACTGAGGGAAGGGCACCAGGTAAACGAGCACCCAATTCCCCAGCATTGCTGGAAATACGGAGTCCAATTCAAGCTCTGTCATGGCCTAAAGTACGTGATAAACTTCTCAGTTACGAGGCTTTAAGAAGGTGGGATCATGCGCAGCATATAGTGAGTATTAAATACATGGGCCATATTATCATCAATTACAGAAGATACAAAGGAGCCTTATCCTGTTGTCCCAAACTGATAGGAGTTCTCCAGGTATCAACAGATTCTTCTCTTGGACACCCATATTAATTGGATTTTTAAAAATCATTTGGCTTTTTGGATCACATCTGGTGATGCTCAGGAATTACTCCTGGAGGTGGTCTGCACTCAGGAATTCCTCCTGGAGGTGCTTGGGTATCATGTGGGATGCCAAGGATCGAACCCGGGTCAGCTGTGTTCAAGGCAAATGCCCTAGCAAGCTGTACTATCCTGCCAGTTCCCTGGATTTATTTTTTAATGTGCTATAAATATTAAAACGAGATCCTGGGGCTGGAGTGATAGCAAAGCGGGCAGGGCGTTTGCCTTGCATGTAGCCGACCCGAGCTCGATTCCCAGCATCCCATATGGTTCCCCAAGCACCGCCAGGAATGATTCCTGAGTGCAGAGCCAGGAGTAACCCCTGTGCAATGCCCCGGTGTGACCCAAAAAAGCAAAAAAAAATAAAAAAAAATAAAAAGAGATCCATATATTAAGATTGCATCAGTGTTTTGAAGAATACAGAAGCACAGGAACTGAGTGATCCCTGCAAACCAATACTACCAACAGATCTATAATTCGAACTTATGTCAGCATTTCACAGACAAGTTTTTGTTATCATAAATTTTCAGACATGAACCTGACAAAATACACTGCTTACTAACTGACTCATCTCTTTTAGATATAAATGATGACATGTGTGATATCTATAAGATATATACTGAGTGTGTACATGGACACACAGACACACAGACACACACACACACACACAAATTCCAAGGGAATTCTGAAGTGTTACTTTTATCTATAATTATCTTAATTTCTTAGTCCGGAAATCAACTCTGAACATTTTTTTATATATTCTAATTACCTCTAGAATTCAGTCTGAGAAGGTACAAAAATTAAGATGTTCAATTTATCTGAATGTGAGCATTACTACAGATGATTAAGCTAAATAATCTCAAATATGGGCTAAATCTCTAATCATAAACAGTAACAGAACAGTTGGTGTGACAGTACAGCGGTTAGGGCACTTGCCTTGAACAACCAACCCAGGTTTAATCCTTGGCACCCCATGTGGTCCCCCAAGCACCTCCAGGAGTGATCCCTGAGCACAGAGCCAGGAGTAAGCCCTGAGCACTGGCTGGTATGGCCCAAAAACAAAACAACAACAACAAAAACAAAACAAAATAATAATAATTTAAAAAAATACTAACAGAAAACCAATGCTAGGTTTTTTAAGTGGCAAACTTTTTTTTGGTAGGAAACAAAGTAGAAATCATCCTGAACAACCCCTCATCCCACCCATGTCTTTTGATATCCTGGTTATTAAAGCCTGTTTGAACTTTGATGTTACATGAGAAAAACTATTCAGTATTTCCATGTCAGAAAAATCTAGGACAGAGAGGAAAAGAATAAACACAACTTTGTAAAAACAAGTTCTCAGTAATAGGGGAAAAAAAAGCCACAAGTAAAAGAAACATGAGTAAGAGCAAATATCTGAGCTCAGTGGCACTTGAACCCCATGGCAATGAATGAAGACAGAGAAAAGACTTGGTGAGGACAATGAACACTCTTTCGGCAGACTAACATGGATATAATCTATGAAATGTTCTTGTTCATTGGTGAGTTTGTTTCAGAAATCTTGTCTGGCATATTTCCTCCAGTAACACCCTGTGCTTATCACCACACTTAACTTGCTGTGATTTATCACAGTGCACTGAAGGATTTGAAACTATTCTTACCTGAGGCTGAAGCTGAAGGCAAGGAAACTTGGCGAGGGCCCAGGCAACTTGCTCCTCGTTCTCTGCCAGGGTGATAGTGCATGTGCTATAGACCAGCACACCCCCTGGTTTCAGCAGCTGAACAGCCTGAAGGAAAGTGAGATCACATCACAAGACTAAAACTCTGCTCAAGGCATTTGATAAGGGCAGTGTTTGAGGGTCACTTGACCACTACTTTTTCTCTACATCGTTCTGCACGAGAGTAATTTAACTGTCATGAACCTGCCATATGGTCCTCTGGACCAAGACTTTCCCAAACTCAATCACTCAGCTCCACTGCTTTTAGATGCCATTTTGATGTGAAACTGCACACTCACATATTTATGATAGACACCCTGCTGAACTCCCTCCCTATCGAATCAAACACTTCACAATTTTCTACCATCAAAGTTGATAGGTCCCAAACAGAACATCTCAGTCCTCTGAAAGCCACAGGAGATGTCTTCCTGTCCTTCCAGATCCCCAGACCCGGTCCTCGTAGTACTCCAGGAGTCTCAATCTGCCTGTTTCTTCCTCACACACAGATAGCACACACCTCCACCCCACAGTAGCACGTGCTACTGGCTCTCTCCTCAAAATATAACAAGAATTTTGGCAGCAATCACCATTCCCCCTGCCATGGTTTGAGCCAAGCCTCATTATCTTTTGCCTGGATTGTTGCAACAGACTCATATTTGATTGACACACGTCCTTCCCTGACCCGCGGCAATCTATTTTCAATACAGCAGTCAGAGCAGCCCTTTGAAAACTTGTCACTTCTCAGCTCAGAACCCCTTGAAGTGCCCTTCACTCTCCTTAGATTTGAAGCCAACGTGGTGAGTTTCCAGGCCAGAGCCGCTCGAGCAAATCAAATAACAAGTTTGATTTTTCAAGTATATATTACATTCATAACACAGATCTTCAGCAGAGTAAGCTGATTAAAATTTAGATTTTGTTACTATGGTCAGTTACTATTTTAATCATTTTATATAGATTTTCTTCAGTCCACTTATAACAAACACAGGCTAAGTTCACTATCTCCAAAAGGTAACCCTTTACAAAACTGTTATATCTTATTCTATCTGGGGTGGGAAGGTGTGGGTCACAACTGGTTGTACTTATTTATGGTAGGGCTTATTTATGGCTCTATGCTCAGGGATCACTCCTGGCAGAGCTTGGCTGGTGCCAGAATTTTAACCCAGGTAGGCTGAGTAAAGTCCTTATATGCTGTACTATCTCTCTGGCCCCAAAGGTAACCCACTTTATTAAAACTACTCCCCACACCTCCTAGCTATGGAAACCTATGTTCTTCGAGTCACTTAAGTTGAGGAACCAAGTCTGCAATCAAGATGTGTTTGGTTCTAAGCCCACATTCTTGGTTTCTACCCCAGCAAGTGGTGTATTTACTCTATTCTTTTTTTCTTTTATTCAGTCTCCCAAGCAGTTCTTATGGGCCTCCAAGGCTGCACCCAGGGATGCCCAGGAAAACCTTGTGGTGCCAGGGATCAAACCCATAGCACCTGCCTACAAAACATTTGAGTCAAGAACTATCCACTTCCAATTTGCTATCTAAGATGATCAAGAAAGTTTGTTTTTAAGAAGGGAAATTTATCTTACACCATTTTTAACACTATTTAGTAACTTCCAATATATTAACAGCAATTTCCTGGGAGAAAGCAAAATGCTCAAATTTCAATGTCTGAGCAGAAAAGCTGCTGTATGGTATTTCTGAAATGAGTGATACCACCTGCTGAAGGAGCAATGGGCATTAGAATGATACAAAGAATGACAGACAATATAGTCTGGGGTATAGAGGGAGGAAATGATCACTTAAAGAAGGTAGATTTCTAAGGGGGTACCAAGCAATTTTTTTTTCCCCAGAAAGAAGAACCATAGGTCAAATAAGTTTGAGAACCTCTGGATTAAAGGCTGGATCAACATAAAGAAAAACTCCCTGCATTCAAAATCAGGTCTTCTGGGGGTTTTGTTGTGTGATTAAAAAAAAAATACATGGAATTTACCATTTCAATAGCACAATTTGGTGGCATTAACATTCACACTGCTATCCACTTGTATAACTTTTGTTACTGTCCCAGACCAAAATTCTGGACACAGCTCCCCAGGGAACTCTCTCCAGTCCCTTAGTGAATTCTATCCAACTTTCTGTTTCAATAAATATGCCTATTAAAGTAACCTCATTGTAAGAAAAATCATGTAATATTTAACCTTTTCTGGCTGGCTTACATCACTTAGCATAACTTCATCCATGCAGAGATTCTCACTCCTAAGTATGTTAATAAAGCACTTTGCTTTGATTCAGCTGCTGACTGATAACTGGATTATTTCCACATCTAAGTAACTGAATAATTGCTGCTGAGTACAATTTTTCATTTTTTAACTATCAAAGTAGTGAAAGCCAACGTTCTATCACAGCAAAATATTATCACCTACCACTGTAAAAAGCTTTCTCTGCAATGGCGGATATGAAGTCACCTCCTTTAAAGTCCAAGTACAAGCCATGTTTGGTCTCTGTCCGAGTCCACTGCAGGGTGCATCAAGAAGAATCCGGTCAAAGGATTCTGGTAAAAATGGAGGTTCTTCTAAGGAAAGAATCAAGACACATCTTGTAGTGTACCCTTACTGGTCAAGAACAGAAAATGCCTAAGATAGATACATTATCAGAAGCAGCTTTTATGTCATTCATCATCTGGCATAGAAAATAAGAAATATTTTTTTTCCCTCCAACTGATGAAAATAACTGACTACATTTAGTACAAATTTGCTATATAAAAAGATTCAGAATGTGATTTTCATAGTTGATGATTCTAAGTCCTAATTCAATGAGACATTATATCCCTTATGTCAGAAGTTGCAATTCACTAGAGCTCGAACCTATAATTAATTCTAGTCTTTTCAGGAAGCTGACACTTCTTGGTGATTCCTGGGACTTATGGGACTTTATGGGACTCTCTTGCATAAAGTCCCAAGCACCACCAGAACTGATCACTGAGCAAAGAGCAAGGAGAAAGCCCTGAATGTGAAAAGATGTGGCCTCCAAACAAAACAAAATTCATTTGAGTAAATTTAAAGATCTAACTGACTTTACTCCATAATTTATAAAATCAGGCAACAGTGATTTGGCAAGGAGAAAGTTACTCCAAAGAGCCATAGAGAGAATGGACTGTTTCAAAAAGGATCACCTTTGCAAAGAGAAAATTGAACAATCAGGTCAGAAAACCTCATTAGTGCTGAATAGCTAATTTCAAACTGCCAGATCAAACGTTATGTTTGAGGCCAAAATTCAATTAAGTGGGGCTGGAGAGATAGTAGAGCAGGTAGGGTGCTTGCGTGTACACAGCTAACCCGAGTTCGATCTCTGGAACCTCATATTATATCCTATGCTTGTCATCAGTGATCTCTGACTGCAGAACCAACCAAACAAACAAAAAATTCAATTAATTTAGTTAGTTCTTAATAATCTCCAATGGGTGATTGCAGTTATTCAGACAAGTGACTCCATTTTTGAACTGTTGTCTTTTTTTTTAAATCATAACTTACAATACTCACTACGTTATCATGTGATGAGTGAAAAAAAAGCAGTAACTGATTATGCCAGGTTATTTATTAGCAACAAAGACTGATTGTCCCTCTATCATGACTGGTTTAATCCTAATCCCTGTTTTGTTTGTAAGATTATATACATTCACAGACATGTGAAAACTGTTATCCTACCAACAGTTTCAGTAATGGTATGGTAATGAATTAAACTGAGTTGTTTTCACTCTTACCATTTTTTTTTCTTTTTTGGGTCTCACCCAGTGATGCTCAGGGGTTACTCCTGGCTCTGCACTCAGGAATTACTCCTGGTGGTGTTTAGGGGACCATATGGGATGCTGGGGATCGTACCCGGGTCGGCTGTGTGCAAGGCAAATGCCCTACCTGCTGTACTATCACTCCAGTCCCCTTAATTACCATTTGAACAACAGTTTTCACACAAGAAATTTAAACAGTTAAAAAGAGTATTTTTCTCTGTGGCAATTCATAAGGAAGTAGGAAATCAAAACTATATCTACAGTCATTTATCTATTTTGTTATTGTTATTTGTATGGGGACTGCATCTGATGAGGCTCAGGGTCTCCTAGTAACCTATTATGTCTAACAGGCCTACTCTAGTAACTTCATTATAAGTGAAATCATGCAGTATTTATCCTCTTCTGGCTGGCTTACATCATTGAGCATAACTTCATCCAGCTTTGTGCTCAGGGGTCACTCGCAATGTTGCTCAGAGGACCAAGTGGGAGCAGGGACCAAGCCTGGGCTTCCACCATACAAAGCATGCACTCAATCCAGAGTTATCTCTTCGGCCACCACAGCTTTTTAAAACCATTTTTACTCAAATTAATGAATACAGGTTCTGAAAAGATTAATGCTCACTCGTTCATTAAAATAGGCAAATTTCTCAAATATTTCATAAAATCAAATCTAAACAAAGAAACAAAGAGAAACCATAATGACTTAAAGAATGTAACCTTTTATCAAAAATAAGATACATGGCAGTTTTTTCTACCTTTCTAATTCATATCACATTCCTCAAGAAAAAAGTGAACAAAATAAATCAGAAATCATAAAACCAAAAGACTCGTATTACATCTCAGAAGTTTTCTGAAATGTAACATGAACTGATGTCAAATATGTTAAGAACAGAGTTTAGACCAAGGCTTAGGGGGTGATACTACTTTATCAAAAACTTGATATTCAGAGATAATTGCTTGAAGATGAAGTTAAAAAGCAAAATGAGGGGCTGGAGCAATAGCACAATGGATAGGGTGTTTGCCTTGCACGAGGCCGACCTGGGTTTGATTCCTAGCATCCCATAAGCTCCTCTGAGCACTGCCCCAGGTAATTCCTGAGTGCAGAGCCAGGAGTAACCTCTGTGCATCACTGGGTATGACCCAAAAAGTCAGAAAAAAAAAAAAAAAGCAAAATGGTAACTACTGTAGACAAAATAGCTTAGTTCTTTGCCAAAGGTTCAATGTTCTAAAAATACCTGGGGGCTACAACAATGATAATGAAATTTGTCTGGAAAAGTCAGTGATTAAAAATCTTTAAAAGATAAATTTACTCACCTTCTGTGTCCTTAACCATATCGTGTTTAAGTGCCTTTGTTCCATCAAAGCAAAATGCTCTAATGGAATTTAATCCTAACAATGCAGCATTTTGCTTTATTTTGTCTACTTTGTTAGATATTTTATCCAGTGCTATTACTTTTCCCTAAAAAAGAAAAAGAAAAAAAGTGTAAATATAAAGCAATTATGAAAATTAATGAGCAAAAACTAATGAAAAATTAATTCTCCACATTCTTCCTAATCCTACGTTTGAAGCTGAATTCATTAACAAAATGCATATATTAAATTTTTATCAGATACTTAGTCCTTCTGTTTTAAAAACACATTTTGGGGGCTTGAGTGATAGTACAGCGAGTAGGGCGCAGACCTTGCATGAACCTGACCTGGGTTCAATTCCCAGCATCCCATATGGTCCCCCAAGCACTGCCAGGTAGTAATTCCTGAGTTTAGAGCCAGCAGTAAACCCTGAGCATTTCAGGTGGGTGGTCCAAAAAACTTCCCCCACCCTAACCAAAAACAAAATAAAACAAACAAACAAACAAACAAACAAACCCAACAGCGACATTCTTTCTATATGATTCTCTTCTAAGGTCCAGCTACCGCAATCAACAAAACTCAAAATAAAAAAAAACTAGGTTTGTGGGGTGAGGAATGAAGAAGCTCAATGCTCAAGCACTTGCCTAGTATGTGTGAGGCCCTCAGCTGCAATCCCCAGCACTGCAAAACAAACAAAATGTGCTTGCAATCTAAAAAAATTCCTGGAAAGTAATTTGCATTACATGCCATTCATATCCTTTCTATTTTGCATTCATTTTATGTTGTGGTAAAGTATTTCAGCTAAATATTTTTACTGTTAACAACTTAAACTCTTTTCGGAGGGGACTGTGGGAGGGCGTAATACCCAGTGGTGCTTACAGTACCAGGAATCAAACCCAGGACTCCAGTCTTCTAAACCATCTCCTTAGCCCCAACACCTTAAATTATTTTTGAATAAAGAAGAGGTTATATAAAAAGGTAAGTCCATTCGTTCTAATGAACAAAGGATTTTAATTCTCCCCAAATTCAAACAATAATCTTTTAAAATATGGGGACCACTCCCAGAACACTTGGGAATGAGATCACTCTAGGCAGCAGTGGGCGCTGAAGTCACACCCAGAGCTGATGGAATGATCATGTTGGACTGAGTTTGCACTATCTTCCTGGCCCTAACAAAATATCTTTTCTATTAGGTCATTTTTCTAATCACTTAAGGCTAGTCATCAGTTACTGCAACTGCAAATGGGTGTGTGAGACAAACAGCACAAGACAGTAAATTTTATCTTTCAATGTATTCACTTGAGAAGATATATTTCAGTATTAACATTTCAACCTCCAGCATGTGACATTTTATTTTAAGAAAGTCTCAATGTGTTGGTTAAAGACTAAAGTGAGGAGATACAGCGATAGCACAGCGGGTAGGGTGTTTGCCTTGTACATGGCCGACCCAGGTTCGATTCCCAGCATCCCATATGCTGCCCTGAGCACTGCCAGGAGGAATTCCTGAGTGCAGAGCCAGGAGTAACCCCTGTGCATCGCCAAGCATGACCCAAAAAGGAAAAAAAAAAAAAGAGAAAAAAAAGGATCAGCTGATAAATTCCACCATCTGGCACTGTGAGGAGAGGGAGCATCGAGGAAACTGACTCTATCAGTAAATAGAGCTGCTGCCCTGCCCTTTGCTACCCTCCTTCCTTGTCACCACAGCCTCAATCACAATCCCTGTCTCTTATTCATTGACTTGTCCACTGACTTGTATATAACCCATCTTCTGTTTAGAAGATAAGTTCCATGAAAAGAAAATTTAGTTCACTATAGTTTACTGCTAAATCTCCAATAATTGGTATACACTAAAAACCTGTTTAATCCATCAATTAAAATCTGGCTTCGGATCAAGGAAGTTATTGCAGAAGATATTAGCATACATAAGGATTTTAGAAACCATTCAGTTAGCTTTATGGGGAAAAAAATAGCTACTGGCAATATTATTCTTTTCTTGGCTTGGAGGCCACACCCTGCAATGCTTTAGGGGTTACTCCCAGTATGGGGCTCTTGGGGACTGTTGAATTCAGGCTTCCTGTGTGTAAAGCCTGCGCTCCGACTGGTTGAACTATCTCTACCGCCCAACACATCATTCTTAAAGAATCTCAATGAAATACTGACTGGTTATAAGGGCAAGCTGAGAAAATAGGTAACATCAGCCCTGAAGATAGAAAACGCATATGAAAAAAGAAACATAGGAAAAAAAGCAATTAAAACTAAGCTAAAGTTCAAGGACAGACTTATCAATATTTTGCGACAATTAAGTCAGCTGTACAATTAAGCCAGATAAAGTTTCTATGTACCACCAAGACTAGACAACACACATATTGGATATGTATCTGTGTATATATTTCTTTATCATACATGTATGTATATCAAATGTATGTTTTACAAGTTTAATTGGGTACTACCAAATTAATTTGTAGTGTTGAAATTTACTTTAACAGCTTAAAGCAACTGTCAAGTCTTTTAAGAACATGAAAACACCACCTAATTTCAGTTAATTTTAATTTTATGAGGGAAGAAATTTATTCTAAAGTATAAGAGCAGACGTGGAATGCAAGGTACTGAGACAGTCTTTACAAATGGCAATTCTCTACTGAGCTTAATAGATGGCTGAGAACTAAGCAGTCTGCATATGCCTGCACCTGAAGTATCTGAACACCAGATGTCTCTGAAGTCATGCAATCTACCTTCTTCACTGAACTACGTTAACACCCTGATTTCACTCTGAACAGTCTCACCTCATCACGCATTAGCGCAGCAATGTGCGTTGTTTTGCCTCCAGGTGCTGCACACAAGTCCAGAATCTTCTCTCCGGGTTGAGGATCCAAAACATGAGTTACAACAGCAGATGGCAAATTCTGTAAGAAAAAGAAAAAAATTATCAGTGACTTGAAACCATTCAAACTGTTATTTATTTATTTTGCTTTTTTGGGTCACACCTGGCGATGCTCAGGGGTTACTCCTGGCTCTGCACTCAGGAAATACTCCTGGTGGTGCTTAGGGGACCATATGGGATGCTGGGATTCGAACCAGGTCGGCTGCATGCCAAGGAAAACGCCCTACCCATTGCGCTACTACTCCAGCCCCATTCAAACTTTTAGAGACAGAAAATACAAAGAAATCTTCGGAAGTGATCCCATACAGCATCCTGTGCCAGAGTGTATTATTTTGGTATTTTTTTGTTTGTTTTGGGCCACTCTCAGCAATGTTCAGAGCTTACTCCTGGATCTATGTTCAGGGGTCAGCCTAGCAGGGCTTGGGGGACCATATAGGATGCCAAGAATCAAATCTGAATTGGCTGTATGCTTCCCTGCGGTGCTATATATCCCTAGAGTACACTCTTTGTAAATATACGAGTGTCCTTGAAGTTTACCATTTCCTAAAAGGACCTAAAATCTCATAGGATATTTATACACACTGCACATTTCTGAAACCAATTTGGCAGCCAATTAAACAAAATTAAAAGCATACTGCTCTTTCTAAATTCAATGACTGACTGTATTTGAACACCTAACCTAAGATCACTCAGAAAAATAAGTAAGCCTTAGCTCTTTTTTTCAGAACATTTATGCAACTTTGTAATTTCAAGTGCTTCCCATCTAACTCTCACACAAGAAATTCCATCTGAAGTTTCTAATGCCACTCTATAGACATGTTTACATTGCCATTTCCTCATCACTGAAAAAAAAAAATTTAAGTTAAATGTGAAAAAAAAAAAAAGCAAACATCTTGGTCAGCTCTGATTTAAAACCACAGATAGATTGACAGTATATAACCCTAAGATTGCTAATATATAGCAACAAGTGATATGACATCATTAATTCATTCTTAGTATTGCTATAAACTTAAATGATAGAATGGTGTCACATAATAATTTATCTTTTAAATTACTTAGCAAAAAAAAAGTAGAAGTTAACAAGCATGGAACAAGTTTTTTTTTTCCAAGTTTAAATGTCTGAACTCATTCCCACATTTTCATCGATTAGCCTGTCCTCAAGAACTACAATAGTACATGAATCCCAAAACACTACTTCTAAACTGAAGCTCAAAAGTGAGAAAGATGACAAAATGAGATTGAGCAGAACTACTATCATTACAAATTGTGTAGGCTGCTAATGGCTATAGCAGAGCACTAAACACTAAAAACAGCCTCGCCTCTTACAGTTTGTTTCAAATATCTAGTTTTTTCCAAAAATACGTAAAGACTGAATTACAATATTAAAGCACTAAAACACATGGCTACTAGGGATTTAGGCACCTATCTAGAGACAAAATGTTTTGCCTCACTCCTAATAATAACTGGGAAAAGTATAGACCAAAACTGTCAGAAATTTCCAATCAAGCAAAACTTTAAGAACCTCCTAGTTGTGCAATAAACTGAAAATCTGAGAATCCAAGGGAGAGACCGTTAAATATTTAAATGTCAAGTGTGCTGAAAACAAGTTACCTTCTACTGTTCCCAGTATTTCTCGGTCCTGGTCACACCAAAAAATTACCTAATGGCTTCAAAATAAACGCTGAGTGCTCACTTAGCCGAGTCAGATGGCCATTTCTGGCAAAAGGGTCAAAGCATCAGTACTTCTAAAATCTCCCAGGTGTGTGTGACTTGCAGAATCATTGATGTGGAAAGTGACTGCAGTCTGAACCACACCTTCTTTATTTCTTTTTTTTGGTTTTTATCATTTTTATTAGTGAAACACCATGAGGTGCAGTTGTAGACTTACAAATTTTTGTGCTTGGGTTTCAATTATACAATGAGTACCCATCCCTCCACCAGTGCCCATTTTCCACCACCACTGATCCCAGTATCCCTCTCACCCCCCATCCCCCCCCATCCCCCCCTGCCTGTGTGGCAAGGCATTCCCTTTTGTTCTCTCTCTCCTTTTGGGTGCTGTGGGTTGCATTGAGTGAGCCACACCTTCTGAGCAAGCTGGGCTTACAGCCTTCCAACCCAGGTCCCATCCTAGCCAGCTCAAAGAAAAGCCACGCGGAGAGAAGCCCCAGGAACAGTTTATATTAACAAACAAACACCGTCCTCCCATTGTTCATTGATTTGCTTGAGCAGGCCCAGTAACGTCTCCATTTTGAGACTTGTTGTTACTGTGTTTGGCATATTGAATATGTCACGGGTAGCTTGCCAGGCTTTGCTGCGCAAGCGAGACACTCTCGGTAGCTTGCTGGACTCTGAGAGGAGCGCAAGAATCGAACCTGGCTCGGCTGGGCTGGCTGCGCACAAGGCAAACACCTTACGCTGTGCTATCGCTCCAGCCTGGTTTATATTAAAGTTTCCTAAACTGTCCAACCACTGGGCACTTCACTATAGAGGGAAGTAACCAGGCAAGGGGAAAATTAAAGTAAGTACTTTTCTTCTCATTAAAACAATGTAACTTTGAAAACAGCTACTAGAGTATTTACATCTTAAATCTTCAATGAGATATTTCAATTATTGGTTAGTAAACATCATTTAAGACATGGTACTTTGGGGGGGGGGTTCCAAGTGGTATAGAGGAGGCCCAATTCCGAGGGCAGTGGTTCACTGTAAAGGCCTGAGATATTTCAATTATTGGTTAGTAAACATCATTTAAGACATGGTACTTTGGGGGGGGGGGTTCCAAGTGGTATAGAGGAGGCCCAATTCCGAGGGCAGTGGTTCACTGTAAAGGCCTGAGGAGCCATGCAGCCCAGGCACTGTGGTGCTGGAGATTACCTGGGTAAACATCAGTGTGCTGGGCCTCCAAAATTGTTCCCTGTGATGTCTGGGGGGCTATGTAAACTACATGCTTCCAACACTTGCCCTAACTGCTATGTGATTCTTTTCCTAATTTATAAGTCTTTGCAAGCTTAAGTGTCATTGCATTGACCTAATGCAATGTCAAACTTAAAAAACAAAGAGGGAGCTGATATATATTAGTAAAGAATTATTTGTATAAATATAAATTGGCCAGCACAGATGCCCATACACGCTTGGCTGCAGTGTGTGGAGGTGACACCCTGGCAGGACTGCGTTCCCCGCAGAGCAGTGTGCCTGCCTAGCCTACGGTTTGGGGGTGGTGCGGGAGATGCTATACACACCAATGTGTTAAAATAACATTGGTATGGATGATAATAACACAAATCTATTTTCCTGTCTGACTTTTGGTTAACCAGCATGCAGAAGAGGAAGCAAAGACCATCTGCACTCAGGTTAGCAACCCAACGCTACTACGTGGAAGACCTTGCACAAGAACCCTAACAGATGCATTCGCCAGATACACTTTATTGGGTCATGAAACAACATCTGGGGGCCAGAGAGACTACAATAGCAAGTAGCACATTTGCCCTGCACCCGACCAATCTGGATTCAATCCCCAGCACTCCATATGGTTCCTCAAGCACTATCAAGAGTGATCCCTAAATGCAGGGCTAGGAGAAAGTCCTAGCATTGCCAGGCGTGGCCACAAAACAAACAAACAAACAAATAACAAAAAAATTAAAAACCATCTAACTGGCAGACTAGTAACAAACCAAATGAGATAATACACATGAAAGAATTTTGTTTGGTTTTGGGCCATACCTAGCAGTGCTCAGGGATCACTCATGGTGGGCTTGGGAGACCATATAGGGCACCAGGCATTGAATCCTGGTCCAAGGTTCAAGGCAAGCACCTTCCCCACTATATTATCTCTTTGGCCCCATATGAAAGACGGTAATAGCGTGGGTATAAAAAATTAATTGCTTATCTCTCACAGCAACCAATAACTGTTGGACAAAAACCCATTAGTAAATCATTTGAACTTTATTCCAAGTTACAAAGAGACCATTTACATGGAATTACAAATGCACACCTGGGTAAAGATTAAGAGTCTCCAAGGAAAAGCAACAACTGCAAAAAGCTATTAAAGCACCCACGGGCAAAAGAAATAGAAAAAGGGGTTGTTAAAAATTCAGCTGGATACCCAAGAATAGCTGAGATCAGCACCAGGAGGATTACTTCATAACTTAGAGGCCAGCCGGGTATCCTAGAGGAAAGGGCTATTCAGATAGAGAAGGGAGCACCAAATAAAGGATGTTTGGAGGATCCTCCCAGGAGGGGAGATGCATGTCGAAAGTAGACTATGGACTGAACATGTTTGCCACTCAATGCCTCTTTTGCAGACCACAACACCCAAAAGGAGAGAGAGGACACAGGGGATTGCCCTGCCACAGAGACGGGGGGATGGGGGGATGGGGGTGGGAGGGATATTATCCATGGTGGTGGAAAATGGGCACTGGTGGAGGGATGGGTATCTGATCATTGTATAATTGAAACCAAAGCACAAAAAATTGTAAATCTACAACTTTAAAAAAAATAAAATAAAATAAAGGGGGAAAAAAAAAAATTCAGCTGGAGGGCTCGAGAAAGAGTACAGTGGGTAGAGCACTCGCTTTGCATGAGCCTTACTTGAACCCGATGCCCCATATCACACCAGGGGTGAGATCTGCATGCCGAGCCAGGAGTACACCTTGAGCACGGGTGCAGCCCTCAAGCCAAAACCCAGCTGCAGATGCAGAGTCAGCTGGCAGTTAGGAAGCCCTGACTACATCTCCAGCACCACCCCCAGGCCATAGGTTAGGCGGATACACTGATCTGTGGGGAACAAAGCTCTGCCAGGGTATCACCTCCACACACTGCAGCCAAGCGTGTGCGGGCATCTGCGCTGGCCAGTAAGGCTTCGTATGTTTGTGTGTGTCCCCTGGTCATGACAGCAACAATACAGAAAAGAGAAAGGGAGGAAGAGAAGTTCTTTCTTACTGCTTAACGAAAGGCAGATCAGAAATACATACATTCCCCTCACCCCCACACCCCCAAAAACAAAATTCTCAAAAAAATTCAGATTACACACAATTAAGACTGTTTTAAGACCACCGAATATTTTCCTTTTCACTTACCTGTAAAAACACATAGCCGGGCAGGACATTGTCAAAGGAAGGGCTGCGGTACACGGGATCCGTCATTCTTATGCCTACACCCCTGAAAAGGAAATCAAGCACTGGTAGAAACAACTTGGTCTCCACAGCATTTCTCAACCTCTGACTGACTGTGGCCCCCTCTGACCCTCCTGAGTCCTCTCCCCCTCAGCCCTGCCCCATTTACACAGTTTTCACCTGTGACCCCTTGCAATATCCTGGGAGGAGATTACAGTTGAGAAATGTAGATTACAGTTAAGAAATGCTGGTCTACACAAACTTTCCAGGAACATGTCCACGCAGCATGTGAAATATAAGATGCTGTTTGGTTTTGGGTTTTTTTGGGGGGGATAGAGGGTGTGGTTCGAGGTCTTCTCCTGGCTCTGTGTTCAAGGGTCACTCCTGGTAGAGCTGAAAAATCAAATAGGAATTGGTGGCAGATGAGGTGAGTGTCTTCACCCTGTATGTGCTCCCTAAGACCCCAGAGAGAAATCTGAACACACTCTGCGGGGGGAGCCCCCACTGTGCTGCCATGCTCTTGGGCAATCTTGCCTTCCTGGGGACAGGACAATATTCAGGTTTTTCCTGAGCCCTTTTATATTTTTAAATGTCACTGTCACTGTCCTCCCACTGTTCATTGATTTGCTCGAGCGGGCCTAGTAACATTGTGAGACTTGTTACTGTGTTTGGCATATCGAATATGTCACGGGTAGCTTGCCTTCAGATCAATTATCCTGATGCCAATATGGTGTGTTTGGCAAGGACTTAATGCAGAACCCAGCAGCTTGGAGCAGAAAAGTGAACGGACTATGCGTTAATCCAGGCCATCATGTCTGCCCGGAGGGGAAAGGGTGTTGCCCCATTCGCCCTCTCCTCTCTGGAAAGAAGATGGCGGCCACATGGTGCCTTGTGGAGAGCAGGTGTGAGCCGGGGGTGTGGGGGGCAACTAAAACCTCATGGGAAGGGGGGCATTCCAGTCCATCCTTCACGCCCTACCGAGGCCGCCAGTTGCCCCCCACGAACGGCTCTCCAGCACGGCCACGACTCCAGAGCACAGAAACCAATCTCTTAATTATCTGACTCTCAGTAGAAATACTTCCAGGGTTAATCAGCAAAATAGCGAAATCCAAAACCAACATTCTTGAACCCAGCTGTAGAAAGCGAATCACTCCACAATGCTTTCTCAGCATGTCTGATTTGGGGGAGGGGGTAAACTCTAAATAATAGTGGTGCATCTTTTATTGAAACAATGAATCTAATCAAAGCAGATAGAGTGTCAACTAGAATTCATCTGCCTCGCAGGCATTGGGAGGGGTTTTACTGGGATTCTTCGTGGTAAAAAATAAGTATTGGTAAAGGGAAAGGTGTTTGATATTTGCATGACTGAGACCTAAACCTGAAAGCTTTGTAACTTTTCCCACAGTGATTCAATAAATAAATAAATATATATATATATATATATATATATATATGGTGTGTTTGGGAGAGGCCTAGTTTGCTCCCCTCCCCAAACTATGAACTCCCCTCACTTCTAATCACCTCTAGTACTTGATAAATAAAACTTTCTTCCTCTCCTCCATTTTAGCTTTCATCTTTTCATCACATCTTTTCATCACATCTTTTCATCACAATTAGGCATCAGTGAATTCAATCAAATCAGGCATTTTCAATTAGAAGTAAGATTACTTGGATTCTGCAGTAGGCAGGATCAAATCAAACAATTCCTTAGTCAAATCCTGACTAGAACAGGCCGTATACAGAGAAAATGTCTCAAATGTCACTACTCCATATTCAAAAGTAAGTTCTATGCTAAGACAATGGTGCAAGTGCCTAGACGAAGACCTCAGTCCCAACGACAGTATAGGGGAGACCCAATATTAAATTCCTCGAAACCCTGGCCTGTTCCTTCACTTAAAAGACTTTCTAAATTGCCGAACTCTGACCTTCTAAAATACACAGAAATGTGCATATTTATATGCCTTTCTCACCCAGACCAGCCTTTCTAGCCCAGTATCCTGACCTCTGAGCCCCTTTGGGCTATCTCTTTCTAACCGTGCCTACCAGTACAAGCATGCCGTCTTTACAATATTTAATTACAAATAATTGGGAGGTTGGAGTGATAGCACAGCGGGTAGGGCGTTTGCCTTGCATGAGGCCGACCCGGGTTCGATTCCCAGCATCCCATATGGTACCCTGGGCACCGCCAGGAGTAATTCCTGAGTGCAAGAGCCAGGAGTAACCCCTGTGCATCGCTAGGTGTGACCCAAAAAGCAAAAAAAATTAAATAAATAAAAAATTAATAAAAATAAAAGTAATTAGGCTGATGAAATAGTAGAGTGGGTCAGACCTGGGTTCAATCCCAGTACCACATACCCTGAGCCTCACCAGAAGTGGTCCCTGAACTGTTACAAATAAGTCCTGAACACAGCTGGGAGTGGACCCCTCTCAATCAAAAAAATTAATAACAAAAAATAATGTCAGTCAATTATCATTCAACCATAAATTACATATAACATATATTTGTACACACACACACACATACACACACACACACACACACACATACACACGTATACACTGTTTTGCAGAGTTCGGGAATGAACCCAGCAGTGATCCCTCAGTGTAGAACCAGGAATAAACCTTGAGCATTTCTGGTATGGCCAAAAAGCAAACAAACAAAAAAAAGTTATATAAAATGGGAGTTTATTATAGTCAGAAAAAGGGTGGGAGAAGGTCATTGGCCAAAGGAGGATGACTTTAGGCAAAGCATCCATCCACAAGGGAAGGCATGTTACCTCATGAGCACGTTGCCTCATCAGGCAAAGTCCTGACTGGTTAGGTTCAGTTTCTACTTTGGGAGAAATTTAAACCACAGTTAGACACTAAATTTCTTTTTTAATTTTAATTTTTTTATTTTTATTTATTTTTTTGGGGGGGTCACACCCGGCGACGCACAGAGGTTACTCCTAGCTTATGCACTCAGGAAATACTCCTGGCAGTGCTCAGGCGACTATATGGGATGCTGGGAATTGAATCCGGGTCGGCCACATGCAAGGCAAACGCCCTACCCACTATGCTATCCCTCCAGTCCCTAGATACTAAATTTTGATGGGGTCCAGCACAAAGGACTTTATTTGGAACCCACTGTCTCTTTTATAACGGCACGTACTATTTCTTTGTAACGCAGTGTGCTCTTTCTCACTTAGGCAAAGCAGGAGCCCAACTGCTGCGCTTAAACTTATGAACAGTGTTTTTGAACGGTGGCTGCCTCCTACCACAAAGAAAAACACTCAGAAAAGTCTTCCGGCCCAGTTACGAGAACTACCACATCAAAGAAGAGAAGGAAGATGAATAAACCACTAAGAACGAACTAGGAGAGCCGACCCAAGTGTCAATTCTCTATTACAAACCTAAAGATAACCACAGCAGATGGCTGAAATCCTGAAACAGAAACACCCAAAGCTGGCTCGAACAAAGACTCTTCCACAAGCGCTTTTTCAAAGCACACGTGCCCACATGAGATTTCAATGCTTCAACGACCCCCAACACTAGCACAGCCAAAGCCTGCAGCAATGAGGGAAGGAGCAATAGTACAGTGGGGAGGGTGTTTGCATTGCACACAACAGATCTGCATTCGATCCCCAGCATCCCATAGGGTCCTCTGAGCAACACCAGGAGTGATTACTGACTGGAGAGCCAGAAGTAACCTCAGAGCATAGTTGGGTGTGACCCAAAACGCAAAAAAAAAAAAAAAAAAAAAACACACCAACAACAAAACCAAACCAAACAAAACAACCAAAAAACAAGCCCTGCAGCAACAGAAGTAAAATCACTTTGACCTGTTAAGCAGGCAGCACTAGAAGGCAACAGGGACTTGAGGTGAAGCCCCAGGTCCCAACCCCAAACAGCCTGTGCTGAAGATCAGTCAGTCTACAGGCAGGCACACACCCCAATTCCCTTCCCTTGCCACATGTGTCCCCATGACTGAGGGATAGGGATATAGAGACTGATTATTTAAGTCCTGTCTCCACCAACCTCTGAATAAATCACTTTCTCAAAAGCCAGAGCTTTAGGCAGCAAGTCCTTCCCAGACTTCTTTATCTCCATAGTCATAAAGTCTGCTAAAGAGAGCAAAATCTTCCTGGCAGTTGAGAAGTTCCTGACACTTGAAACCAGGAAGAATTCGATTATATGCCCAAACTGCTACAACATAAAAAATGGTTCCAGCAGCCAGGTATGAGTGACATGGAGAAATTGGCATCTTCTATGCAATGATGGAGCTAGAACTAGAATTATAACAGTCTGAAAACACTAGACAAAGAAACTGGGTAGCTCTCAAGCATATTTAGAAACAACAGCCACGGATGATTAAAAACTAACTGTATTTTGAGAGCTGGAGAGATCATACAGAGATAGGGCACTTACTTTTCATGCAGTTTGGACCCAGATTTGGTCCCCAGAAACCAATATGGTACGCTGAGCACTGCCAGGAGTGATCCCTGAGAGCCACCAAAAACCACCACGACAAAAAAACAAAAAACGAAAAAACCAAAAAACCCTGTATTTTTACAAAATATAATTGTAAAAATCAATCCTTACTATTCCAAGTTTTCTTCCAAAAAATCCTTCTCAAACAAGTATCACACCCACTCTCTTACAGAAAGAAAAGCACTGGCAAAAATCCTTTCACGGATGACATTGTGCTTCTCTATCAGATCAATTCCCCATGCCCTGTATAAAATGCAAACCTTGACAAAAAACATTGTTTTGCCATAACTTTTCATGAGAGTGCTGACTTTCTGTTAATATTTAATTAAAAGAATTTTATTGTATATGATATTAGAAACTTTCCTTTCACAAAATGATAATGTTAAAACAAACTGTGCAATAGCACAGCGGGTAGGGTGTTTGCCTTGTATGCGGCTGACCCGGGTTCGATTCCCAGCATCCCATATGGTCCCCTGAGCACCACCAGGAGTGATTCCTGAGTGCAGAGCCAGGAGTAACTCCTGAGCATCGCCGGGTGTGACCCAAGGAAAAAAAAAACTGGATTAGCTTCTCCTTTACCTAAGTACTACTCTCAAATGATACAGATATTTCAAAATAATAAAATTCAAATAAAATTCAAAAATAAAATTCAAAAGGAAAAGTAAAGTTATTTGACAATCAGTGTGACTAATAGCTTATAGTATTTAGTCTAGGCATTTATTACCTAAAAGCATTTTCTCCAAAACAAGGAAATAAGGGCTAATTATTATACCAAAATATTATCCATATAATGCAACTAGATATACTCTTGTTTTAAAATTCTTGAACCACAAAAAAAAGAGAGTATTTATTGCCTTCCAAACACTTGGATAACATACTTTAGTTCGGGAAGCCCACTGAAGATTTCTCTGCGGCTTAGTTCAGAAACACCATTTCCAAGAAATACTTTGGTTCCATCAAATTCTTTGGCTCCTTTTTTACATTTGCCTTTAATATCAGAGTACACGGAAATAATATCTCCAGCTTTCATAACTAGAAAAGAGAAAAAAAATCACATTTTAGTGTTTTGTACTTTAGTAGAATAAAAATGAAAATTCTTTAAGTCAGGCAGAGGATGGCTAAGGAGAGGCAGAGGTTCTAGGGGCTTCAATCTAAATCGGCTCCATTAACTCACTTTGTGGAACAGAAAATAGAGCCTTACTTTCTGTTTCCTAACAAGAAACCAAATGAAGATTTACTCATAGGAAAACAAAGAGAGTCTTAAAACATCCTACTTCACCCACAGATTTTTTACAAAGCAGAAGGATTGGTACTTAAAGTTACTTCCCCAAAATCTAATACTTCCTACAAGACGTCACATAAATCTGGGTATCTTTGGGTCAATCATCTTATTCTAAATTTTCTTCCAAAAAACCTCCTAAAACTGCATCACACCCACTCTCTTATAGAAATAAAAACACTGGTAAAAAATCTTACATGGACGATACTGTGCTTCTCTATCAGATCAATACCTCATGGGCTATATAAAATGCAAACCCTGGCAAACTATCTGACAAAGGCAAAGTAAAGATAGTATGCATGATAATTTCATAAAATTCCCATTTGATAATGCATAAAAGTTTTAGGAAATTTTTATTTTACAGAGAAACTTAAACACTGGACTTACATGCTGAGGCTGACACAACTCCTGGCACATAGACGTGGGCACCTCTCAGCACTGCATTGCCACACTGGGCACCGACCACAGCTTCACACGGCTGTTTCTTAATGTTCTTCCTTGAGGACCAAGGCAAAATAGTGATATGCCTCCAACATTGTCAACCTTTCGAATGTTCTGATCCCACCCTGAGAAAATCATCCCTTTAACTGTTCCATGGTAACAAGTACTAATGAACAGCTTAAGAAAAAGAGCTGGAGATTCAGCTCAGAAGCTGTGCTTACATGTAGATGTGTGAGGCCCTGGGTTCAATCCCTGGCACTGAGGGGGGGCGGGTGTTGAGGGGGAAAGAGAAGGTGTTAATAAATATAAAAGAAAAAAATATTTTTAAGAAAAAAAATTCAATAGGGTTCTTAAAAAAAGAAGTCCAGTGGAAAGGGAACCCAATAAAGAGGCACCACGGAGCCCGTGAGAGAATACACCGAGAAGAGCGCTTGTCTTGCACACGACTGACTCAGGTTTGATCCCCAGGACTGAATATAGGTATCCCAGCTTCACCACGAATGATTCCTGAACACAGAGCCAGGAATAAAGCCCTGAGCACTGCTCGGCATGGCCCAAACAGATAAAAAGAATTCCTTTCGTTCCCTTAGATTCTTTCATGTTTCAGATTCCTACTCTAGTTCAAAATCACTTCTAAGAAAATTGGTATCATTTACTACCAGATAACTCAATTTGCTCGGGAGCCGGGACTGTGGGATGGGGGCAGGACCCTTGTTCTTCAGCTGATTCTCACTTGTGATTTACCCGCTGCATTATTTCTCCAGCTCCCTGCAATTCTGCATTCTTATCAGAAACAAAATATCACTGAATCTTAGTCAAAAGGCTGAGAAAAGATTAGAAGTACAATCTCTAAAGACCTGTGATCACGAACATAGAAAACTGACTTAACATTGAGAAGACAGAAACCAGAACCATGGTTTCCTGGTAGGGCAGATGCAAAAAAATGTTTCAAGGTAAGGGAAGTAGGTTAGATCTTGATTGAGTAGGTGACTGAATGGTTGCTCGCTGCTGTTTAAATATAAGAAAGCTCAGCAAATGGTATTTCATTGTAAGCAGTTTCATATCGAAACTCTTACCAAAAAAATCACTTAATTGCAAAACACATGCTCATACTAAAAAACAAGAATCACTGTGAGAGAAAACTTCTTGTCCCCTTCTTGCCCCTCTTTGTCCTTCAACAATTAAACCCTGTAACTCATTAAGCTATACCCTCCAAACTCAGCATAAATAAAATGTGTAATTGTTTCATTTTTTTAATTGGAAAAAAAAAGTGATTAGGGGCTGGAGCGATAGAATATATAAGGCACTTGCCTAGCACATAGTCGACCCAGGTTTGATCCCCAGCAAAACATATGGTCCTGCACCCCATCAGGAGAGATGCCTAAGCACAGAGCCAAGAGTAAGTCAGGAGTAAAGGAGTAAGCCCTGAGCACCACCAGGTGTGGCAAAAAAAATAATGAGTGATTATCATAATCACAGCCACATGCTTTGATAATTGTGCACAGGTTTTTTTTTTAATTGCATATATAATTCTCTTACATTAAAGGCAACATGACATTCCACTGCATGATAAACCATAATCTATTGAACCCCTGATCCACTATTAGCCACTAAATTACCTGACACTATTATTATAACTTTTAGGGATATAAATATTTATACCATAATTAGAGAGTATTTTATGTTGCTAAGGAATAGAACACCCATAATATACAAGTTATCTTTTAGATTTTTAAATACATGCTTTCTGAATATGCAAATGAATTAGAAAATATCTGTTCTTTTAAGAACATACACAGTAATTTCACTTTATTATGGATAAATTAAATTTCTTTTTCTATTTAGTCACCGTGAAATTACAAAGTATTCATGTTTGGGTTTCAGGCATAAATGTTTCAACACCAATCCCTTCACTAGGGTTCATTGTCCTCCACCAGTTCCATCTCCACACACTCATTTGCCTCCCGTACACCAGTATATCCCTATGAGAGGCGCCTATTACTATTATAAGTTTTACACTGTGGTTTGCAGTACAGTTACTAATGGAATTAAAAAATATACAGAAGAACATATTAGGTAGCAAGTACATATGTGCTTTATAGTTTTGTTGTAGTTAAAAAGTTTTACTTTATCACAAGAATCTCAAGATACACAACAAAAGAAGCCTCTTAGAAAGTTGAAATAAATAAAAACATAAAGTAGAAATAATCATTACACTGAATTGATCTAAAAATGCATTGTTCTGCGACGGGGGCAGTAGTACAGTGGGTAGGCTGATTGTTTTGCATACAATGGAAAAAGATTCAATCGCCAACAGCCCATATGGTTACCCAAGCCGCACCAGGATTGAACCCGGAGCACAGATCCAGGAAAAAGCACTAAGCACTGCTGGGTATAGCCTACCCCCATTCCCCAATTTTTTAAGTAAATAAAAATGCATTATTCTCAGGAGTATGAGTTCCATTCTGAGTATTCTTTTAGAGTCTTTTCCATAATGGAAATATGAGCAATACATGAATTTGTGAATTCTTGTCTTTTTATATAATACTGCTAATAATGGAGAAAGTATTACCAGTAAAATATAAAAACCTGTAACAGTGAAGAATGAACCTATGACAAATTTCTATTTAGGTTAATTTGAAAAACAAAACAGTTACAAACCTAGGTCCAATAACAGGAATAAGTAGAACATCCTGAAGGTCTGGATGTTGAAGAACAGGAACACGTAATCCATTATATTGCTATTAAGGATAATAAACAAATTATAAAGCAAGTAATAAATCTGAAAAATTTCACCCTGTAGAACTTTATCATTTCATCATTTCATTTCATCATCCTGTTATTCGTCGATTGCCTCGAGCAGGCCCCAGTAACGTCTCTTTCATCCTAGCCCTGAGATTATATTCAAGGCTCTTTAGGAGAATGAGACCCATCATTGTTACTGGTATTTGGCATATTTGGTACGCCACGGGGAGTTTGCCAGACTCTGCCCTGTGGGCAGGCTACATTCGATAGCCTGCAAATTTGTCCAAAGTAGGAATGAGATAATAAGATAATAATATTATTTCATCTCTCATTCCAGAACTTTATCATGACTTCCAAACCATAAAGCTTCCATAGGATACTACTTTTTAAAAAAAAAGTCTAAGCAGGGCTGGACAGTATAGAGGGTAAGGCATTTGCCTGGCACCCGGCTGACCCAGATTCGATCCCCAGCATCCCATATGGTCCCGCAAGCACTGCCAGGAGAGAATTCTGAGTGCAGAGCCAAGAATAATCCCTGAGCACCACAGGTGTGGACCCCAAACAAAAAAGCAAACAAAGAACTTAAAACTAATGTTTCCTTTATAATGAATTTCAAAGCATCCTGACTACTTCATAAAGCTCAACTTCATTTAATGTTTGGCTTTATACTCACATTTTCTTTCACCTTAAGTGACTGACATTGAAAATATACATCCAAAACTGAACTATGTTTAATATCCTTAGGAAAACAGTAGGAGGTCAGGGATGTGACTCAGCAGTTACATGGTATGCACATTTGAGTCCCAGGTTTCAATCCCCAGCACCACAAAACAAAACAAGAGAAAAGAAAAGCCTATGAATAGGGCATTGCAGATTGAGATTATTAAACATTTTGAGATTGGTAAACATTGTTTATTAAACACTAGCGATACTGACTGCTATGCAGAGTGTAGGGCGTCTGCCTTGCATGCAGCTGAACTGAGTTCAATTCCCATCATCCCACATGGCAGCTTGATTAATGCCAGGAATGGAGTCCTGAACACAGAGCCTGATGTGGCCCAAATCCCCAGTCACTGCCCGGAAAAACAAAAAACAAAAATACAAAAAAAAAAACCCAAAAACGGAGTGCTAGCTATGTCAGTTTTGATAAGGAGAAAAGGGGAAAAGATGGGGATTGAATAGGTAGTACAGCAGGTAGGGCGTTTCAATTCGCAGCATCCCATATGGTGCCCGAGCACCACCAGGAGTGATTCCTAAGTGCATGAGCCAGGAGTAGCCAATTTTTCACCAGGTCAAAAATTATCCAAGTTTCTTCTGCTCCCCAGGAAAAAAATGATTCAGGAGTCTATTCATTTAAAAAAAATTATCACTGGTGCCAGACAGTATGGCAGGCAGGGTGTTTGCTTTGCACTGGCCAACTTGGGTTCGATTCCCTACATTCCATATTGTCCCCTGAGCACCTCCAGGATAATCCCTGAGTACAGAGTCATGAAAAACCCCTGAATGTCACTGGGTGTGGTCCGAAACCCAAAAATAAAATTAAAAAAAAACACACACACGCTCTCTCTCTCTTCCCTATTCTCCCTGTTTCTTCCCCAGTCTCCAAAGACTTAGTCACTGTTTGATGAACTTACAATATCCAGTCTATGGTAAACTGATTCTTTCAAGTAGACAATACATTTTCCATTTACTTTTGTTCACAAGTACCACTTGCTTTATACTACAGAAATATTTGAGAAGCTGAAGAGACCGTACCAGCAGATATGGCGCTTTGCATTGCACACAGCCAAGCGAGGTTCAATCCCAGAACCATATATAGATCTCTGAGAACTGCCAGGAGTGGTCCCTGAGCACTGCAGGGTGTGGCCAGAAAACAAAAGAAAAAAAAAAAAAACCACATTAAATCAAGGGTTTTCTTTTCTTCTTTTTCATATGATATAGAAATCATATTTTCACAAAACCATGCATGTACATAAAATTTCACAGAATGTAAAACTTAGCACCTCCTACCTTCTTCTACTATTTTTTCTTCATGACACTTTTAAATTTATTTGTGGGTTGGGGTGTTTAGGTCATACCTGAGGCTCAACGGTCATTCCTGGCAGTGTTGTGAGCAACCATATGTCATGCCATATTCAGAACAAGTTAAGTTACAAGCAAGGTAAAGGGCCTTAAACCCCTTTAAAATCTCTAAGGTTCCTGTTGTTTCAGGGGTTAGGAGATATTCAGCAGTGCTCAGGACATACGCCTAGCTCAGTGCTCAGGAGACCAAATAGGGTGCTTGGGAATTAAACCCAAATTGGCTGATTGCAAGGCAAATGCCCTGGCTGCTAGAGTATCTCTCTGGTTCTTCTGAATCCACTTTTTAACAGTGAATATTGGGGCCAGAGAAATAGTTAAAAAATGTGGAGCAAATGCTTTGCAAATGGGAATTCCATGGTCAATTCCCAGACCTATATTGTCCCTAGACACTATTGGGAGTGACCTCCAAGCAACCAGTGGAGAGCAGCCATTGTGCACTAGAAGGTTTGCACAGACACTACATGAGTGAGGCATGATTTACAGACTATAAAACATATCCATTAAAAACGCACAACTCAAAAATCGTTCACTTCATGTAAAGAATTCTGCAATAACCACAACTGCCCCATATCTGGTATTTGCATCACAGCACAAAGGCTCTGTAAGCCCATTTGCAGCCAATGCCTGTTCCATGGTCCCAATTCCGGGCAACTATCTACTTTTTTTTGGGGGGTGGGGGGGGTCACACCCAGCGATGCTCAGGGCTCTGCACTCAGGAATTACTCCAGACAGTGCTTGGGGGACCATATGGGCTGCCGGGGATTGAACTCTGGTCGGCCATGTGCAAGGCAAATGTCTTACCTGCTGTACTATCGCCCCAGCCCCAATTATCTACTTTCTCTATAATTTTGCTTTTTCTGGCTATTTCACACAAGTTGAATTAACATATGGTATCATTTGGGGAGTGAGAGGCACACTTAATGGCACACAGGGGTCACTCCTAGCTGTGACAAGGTTCCTGCATGCACAGCATGTGCTTCCGCCCCATGGAGCTCCCTCCCTGGTGGTAGCAGTCTGACTTCCTTCACTTTACATAAGAACGTAAAGTGAGGTTTACCCATGCACAACGCATGGATCTGTTACCTTCAGTGATGAATAGTATTCACTGCCACAAATAAATCATTGCACGTATCTTTATTCAATACCAGATGGTGGACATTTAGAACATTTCTCCCTTTTAGCTATGATGAGATGCTATAAATAAACACATTTAGGCATTTGTGTGGACATATGTTTTGATTTCTCTTGGGTAGAAACTTCAGGTTGGAATTGCTGGGTTAATGTTTAACTCATGAAGCTGTATTCTAAAGAGTCAATCATTTGGCATCCCACTAAAATATGGAGTTTCCAGCCTCTCCATCCTGGATTTTAATTTAAAGCCAACATTTCATTTTAGAACACTGCATTTTTAACATGTGGCCCAGATAAATTTGGGACACATCCTACTCCTTCCATTTGGAACATCTCCCTAGGAAACAAGAATATTGGAATTATGGAAGGAAAAAATTTAATTTTTATAGGTTTGTTTTTTATTTTTAATTGCAGCAGAAGGAACTGAGCCCAGGTTTCACTCATACAAGGTATGAACTTTCCCACTAATGAAGGAAATCATTTTAAATTACTGGTCGTGCTAATTTCATTCAGAATGATATTAGACATAATACCAGTAACTTCTCTAAGCCATTACATGTTTAAAACAGCCTAAAACAGCACTCTTCAACGGTTTACTTACAGCTGCAGACAGGCACCTGCCCTCCAGAGAGCCCAGGAGTGATACCAGGGCACTGCAGTGGTTTTCAGCCTTTCGACACCTGCAGCCTGAAATCAGTCCATAGCAAGTGGTTTAAGGGAACTGTCTCTTCCAAGACCCGTTTTCTGCTCTGCAACCAGGGCCTGCCACTTCATCACCTTCACTTTTTCCTAACCTTTAAGGAAGGCTTCAAAGTCCACTTAGAACAACACTCACAGACACATTCTATTCAGACTAGGAGATCTTGTATATCTATCTGGAAAGCTAGAATAGCCAGTCTCAAATCATCATCATCATCATCATCGTCATCATCATCTGTATCTTCCCAAGTTATGGGCACCTCTGCTGGGCCTCAGGATAGAGTCCTGTCTCCCAGCTTAAAACATATGTCAAACATGTGAAAACATATGTAATGGCTTAGGGATGCCACTTGTAGAGAAGTTAATGTAATGGCTTAGAGAAGCTGCTTGTTTTCTCCAGATCTTAATTATTATGCTAAGTTTTGGTCTCAAAGAATTATAAACAATTCTAGCTGGTTCTCACAACCTGGACATTCACTACTTCAAGCTGTGCCTTAAAAATGTCTAACACGAATTTCATAGATGTCATGAAATATTTTTGGGTTTGGGGCCATACCTGACTCTGCACTCAGGGATCACAACTAGTGGTGGTCAGGGGATCATAAATGGTGCCAGGGACTGAACTCATGTTGATCACCTTACCCTTGTAGGATAACATTGCTTTGTTCTTCCACAAGAAGCTTAGGTTTATCTGGTTACACCCATCACAGTGCTCCTGAAGCATTTCCACTTCCATTGTGTTTATCTGTAAACAGTCTTCCCTATGCTCTCTTCCCCACCCACTTAATCAGCTTCCCCTAATCAGACTCTGTTAATTTGTAAGATCAGTTTCCCAGAAATCTATGATTTTATATGTATGAGTGAAATACTGCCTTTCTCCTCTCCTTATGCCTTATGAACATTTTACCTTAAAGTAATATCCTTTTTGTATAGATACAGAAAGACCGTTAACATTATGCTTTGTAACTTAGGATTTAATTGGCTTTGAATATTATTCACTTCCGGGCATCTGCTTTCTCGACTTAAGCCTCAGTTGCCCTTAGTTCCTAACACTCCGAAAGCAGGGTCCCGATGAGAAACTGAATGGACCCAGGGCAAGCGGTGAGCTACCCTGGCATCGAAATGGGCCAGACCAAAGTGCCATGATTCTTAACTATAAGTTAAGAGTTTGATCATAGACAAATGCTGTCATGATCCAAAAGTAACGAGGAGACTAGGATCCTGCTAGGGGTGGGAAAGACTATCTGGCCTGAGCACTGTAATGTAGTCTGAGATCGAGATGGCCCTAGAGCATTTTTATAAGTTTAAGATATTTCTTACTGTATCCATACAAAATGATTTATATTATATATGCTTATATGTTTGCTAGACAAGGAGAGAAACACACCCAAGAGAATTCGCTCTAGGGTGGATTGATCTGATAATGAGGATCTGTCCTAGGAGCAGCTTCCCCTGAGGCTAAGAGTTCTACCCCTATTGATTGTGACCACACCTATGTGTGATTGTTTCCCCAATTCCTCTTAGAGAGAGATATAAGGAGACTGTAGAGCAGAGACAGAGGAGAGACAGACAAGAGAGACTGGTGTAGATGGAGAGAGGAATGGAATAAACTGCTACTAATACCAACCAGCCTGGTCCTCATTCCTTCCTCTGCCTGACCATCGCCATAGACCTCCCCGGGTGGGAGAAGGGTGAGACTACCGAACGCGGGTGGCGGGAGAGATAGAGCCACCGCCGCTGTATGCTGCGACCCTTACCTGTATTATTGCTTCAGTTTCTAATGTTGTATCATTTTAAAAAATAAAAAAATTCTCAGAAATTTTTGATCACATAAAAAAAAAAAACTGGTAATGTAGCCCGTGACAAATGAAAGCTGTTTGTATCTGCTCTTTGTATTTAGGTGATAATTAGAATATCTGCTGCAAAATCATACTTTTAGTTAGAATTGACCTTTTCAAATGTAGTTTGTCCTCCTTGGACACCCAGCAGTCACTCCAATGGGTGCTCAGGGGACCACACATTGCTAGGGATAAAACCTGGGTCACCAGAATGCTGTGTTTGCACTCTAGTCTATTGAAGAATCTCTGCCCTTCTCATGTATTTCAATGATAAGGCAATGAAGGCCCCTACGCATTATGTAAGCTAGTCATGAAAATAAATTCAAAATTAGAAATGCTAAGTTCCAGTTCTAGCATAGCCATTATTATGTAATCTTGAACAATTTAACATTCATTATCCTGAATTGCTTCACTTGTAAAACTGGAATGTTAGCAAAGATACTAGCCAGCCCTTCAAATCCAGGGGTTCTACAACCACAGAATCAGGCCTCGAATGGCTCTACCTATACTGAACACAGATATTTTTATCTTGTCATCATTTCCTACATAAAGTATACAATGATAGCATTACAAAGCATTTACATTGCTATTATAAATTAAGATGACCTAAAACACACAGGGAGTTGTGCACAGATTATACAAATATTCTACTGTTTTATAAAAGGGACTTAGGCATCTGAGGATCTGGGTGTCCAAGATAGGTAATGGAACAAATTTCCCATTGAATAAGGAGGGTTAGCTGCATATCATAAGATACTGGTGGAGAGCTCTCTAACAGACATACCATAGTACTATATACATAATGATAAAAACATGTGCACTAACCTTATGGAGTTCATCAAGTAACAAATTTTTCACATATTGTACTGAGGCTAAGTGTGTGTTTATTCTGACAGTTGTGAATGATGGCGGGTGTGACAAGTGCTTTAACAGAGTTTCAAACTTCCTTTCTGCTTCATCTTTACCTCCAGCTGATATAATCTGAAAAGAAAAGAATACAGCTGATACAATCTGAAAAGAATCAATTAATGTCTCTAGTTCCTTTTACAAATTAAAATTATTAAGGGGAATGAACACCTGTTGGAAGACTTACTGTACGTACCAGAATGTCATTACCTTCATTCATTATCAATACCCTAAAGCCCCTAGAGTATTTTTTAACCAGACTCCATAATTTCCACGCAAAGAAAACCCAGGTTCCAAATAAGTACTTTTCATTCATTATATTTGAGTTTTTTTAGCTTCAGGTTTCTGCATGGTTAAATAGTCAGTTTGGGAACTCAAGGATCCTCTTCGATTTTCACATTCAATCTGAGAGGAAATCTAAAGGTGTGAGAAGGTTTAAAGGTAGACAAACCACCAAGCAAAACCAGTGGCACTGAAGCTGCACTCCACAAAAGCGTGCATCACTTCCACCCAAGTGCCTGAGCAAGTGCTCAGACCTGGTGCAAGCACATAAACGGTCTTCTCTTCTTGCTTTCCCGTTGGAATGCTAGGCCAGAAAATGCATGGGCCACACTGGCCTCTAATCCCGGGAAGCAGTTAAGTCCCTGCAGAAAGATATTGGCAATTTCAGATTTTTATCAGGATGAGTAGCAAAAGTCCAAGGCGAGGGCTACTGCGGGGTTTTGCTGCCCAGGCACCGCCTCCGGTGTCCTGAGCCCTGCCAGGAGTGATCCCCCAGCACAGAGCCAGGAGTAAACCCTGAACACGGCTGGGTGGGGTTGTCTGCACCCGACCCCCTAAAAATCAGGACCAGGACTCAATTAGATTGCCTCTGCGTTAGAGAGCGAGTGCAGCGGGGTGGGCGCTTGTCTTACACGCGGCCACTCGGGTTCGATCCCCGGCACCCCCGTAGAGTTCCCCGAGCACCGCCAGGGAGGAATTCAAGAGTGCAGGGCCAGGAAGAACCCTTGAGTATCGCCGTGTGTGGCCTCCAAAAAAAAAAAAAAAAAACAGATTTCGTCTCAGAGGGGCTAAGAGCAAGGAGCGCGTTGGCGCGGGCTTAAGGCGCGGGTTCGAGCCCAGCCCAAGCGCGACCGCCTAACCGAACCGATGAGCCTCCTTCTCTCAGAACTTTCCATTTCGCTAAAAAGAGTGTGTGAACGTCTCACGTTCTGCGATCTCACGTGTCCCTCTGACCTACCTCCTGATTCACAAAGCTTTCTCTGAGGTAATTTTCAACCTCAAGCCTCAGCGCTATTTTAGGGAAAAAAGCCATATTTTCCCCCGACGGCTCAGTCCTCCAAGGCAGAGGCTGGACACGGTGCTTTGGCTCCTTCCGAAGGACGATGGCGACGCCCGACAAATGGGCGCCTCTCAGCGTCTCGGTCCATTCAGGGTCGCGGGGCCCATCCCCGTCCTCCTGGTCCTGCCGCTCCGGGAGGCCACCTCAGGAACACCGAGCGGGCGAGCGAGTCGCGGTCAGGAGAGCGCCGCTCTCCCAGTCGGACCCGCCCAGCCCCGCCGCGGCCGAAGCCCGCAGCCCATTTCCAAACCCGCGCCCACAGCGTCCCCTCAGCAAGCCGCTTCCGGCTTGCGCCACTTCCGGTGGCAGGGCCCACCCACTCTCCCTCCCACGGGCCAATCCGCAGCCCGCTATTCCGTGACGTCATGCGCCGGGTTTCCCAGTGGTGATTCCCGACCTCGGTGAGGGGCGGGAGGAGGGCGCACTACGTTGGGAGGTGCGGCTGGTGGGCGCTACAATCCTCAAAGGAGGGGCCGGGAAAATGCGGCCAATGGCGTGGGGATCAGGCGAAGGCGTGGCAGGCAGCCTGCTGCAGGTGAGGCGCTGTCCTACTAGCTGAAGTCGGCACAGCTGCGGGGGAAGGGAGCCAGGGATCATCCTGAGCCTCGGGTTTACTGAAATTAACCTTCCACGACCTGCTCCGGCAGGCAGTCGGACTTCAGTTGTGAATGAACATGGTTCATTTATTTATTTATGGCTTTTTTTGGGGTCACACCCGGGGATGCTCGGGGGTTATTCCTGTCTTTGCACTCTAGGAATTACTCCTGGTGGCGCTCAGGGCACCATCTGGGATGTTGAGAATAGAATCCAGGTCAACCGCATACAAGGCAAACACCCTTCCCGCTGTCCTATCTCTCAGGTCCCTGAACCTGGTTCAGATTCCCTTCAAAGCTAAGTGATTAAGTTAATTAATTAATCAATCATAATCATGGCATGTGATTAGCCATGAATGCATAAGAAAGTCAAAAAGTCACTGCTAGGATTTGCAATTAGCTAAATTAAGGCTCTTCTAACTTGAGGGTGATACCTTAAGCTCAGCAGATCCTCAACATAGTAAATCATTTTAGGATTGAATAGGGAACTCAGAATAACTCCTCCAGGGGCTGGAGTAAGAGTATAGGGGTTAAGGCGCTTCCTTGTCTGACCTATCCCCAGCACAATCCTGATGCACCTCTTGGTGTTGCCCCAAAACCCAAAGTAATAAAAATTTCCCAGTTCCATGCCAGCGTTTTTGGCAGTATATTGTGGTGATAACAGAAAGAATTTTTAACCCTTTTTTTCTCACAGAGATCACTTTGAAGCATAGTACATTTCCACTTAAGCTACACCAATTCACTGTATCACTGTCATCCCATTGTTCATCGATTTCCTTGAGCAGGCACCAGTAATGTTTCCATTCTACCGAGCCCTGAGATTTTAGCAAGTGCCACATTGGAGGCTCTTTCAGGGTCAGGGGAATGAGACTCATCATTGTTACTGGGTTTTGGCATATCAAATACAACACGGGGAGCTTGCCAGAGTCTGCCGTGTGGGCAAGATACTCTCGGTAGCCTGCCGGGACCCAAGAGTGAGAACTAGACAAATAAGAGGTCCAGGAGCTTGGTTTTATAGTCTCTGGATCTTGGCCGTTGATGGGATTACATGGCCCTGGGAGCACCAATTAGGTTCTGTAAATATATTAGAAGGGACCATTGTCGCCCCTACAATCACCTGCAAAGCTTGCATCTTAACTCTGTACTCTCTGGACCTGTAAAAATATTTTAACTTTCAGCCGTTAAGCTCCACAACCACAAGTTGGTTATCATTCTTTTCATAGAAGCAAATCAAGGCTTCCAGAGCTGAAATAACTCTGCATGGCCTCACAATTAATCAGGAGAAACAGGATCAAGACTTAGCTATTTATGGGGCCAGAACAAACAGCAGGTAGAATGTTTGCCTTGCTCAGGCCCACCCAGTTCAATCCTCAGCATTCCATATAGTCCCCCTGAGGACTGCCAGGAGTAATTCCTGAGTGCAGAGCCAGGGGTAGGTAACCACAGGTGTGGCCAAAAACAAAAACAAGATAATAAATAAATAAATAAAAAGGAGAAACCTTGTTATCTGGATTTCCCTGCCCCGCCCCTTTGCAGTCCTAGAAATTAGAACCCAAGACATGCACCATGCACTTTGTCACCAAGCCACACCCATGCCACCATCAGCTCCTAAAGCCAGCACCACAGCTTTCCACTACAGTATCTTCAATGTTCTTGGGATTCTCCTGGACAGCCGTCTGAAAGTATCAGAAAACCCCCATACCAGGAATTTCTAAAGGAATTTTTCTGCTGTCTCAACATCATGATGACCTTAGTACCAATAATGACTGGAATTTGTATTTAGGAGAAAAGAAGAAGGGATGAAAATGCAAAAGAAGATTCTGAATGGCTGAATAAAAGAGAACCCTGCAGAGTAACACACCCAAGGTTCTCAGATAAGAGAAGGAGGAGGAAGGGGAGGAGGAGGGGCAGGAGGAGGGGGGGGGGGGGAGGAGGAGGAGGAGGAGGAGGAGGAGGAGGAGGAGGAGGAGGAGGAAAAAAGACATTGAGTTTAAGAGATCATTGGCTGCTGAGGTCTTCCCCCAGATTGTGTGAAGAGAGCATTTCCTCCGTACAAGTCTTTTCCAAGAAATGAGAAGCTGGGTGGTAAATAGAGAAGTATTTCTCTAAGGGAGAAAGGACCCTTTTAGGAAGACAGCCACAAAAAGGTTATTAAAGCTATCCACTTCCAATACTTGCTCTGATTCCCCAAAGGAGGGAAAGAGCAGTGAGGAACCAAAGAATCATAGATAGAACCCTAAATTTCAGTTTGTGGCACTCTAAAACTTAATCAGAACAAAAACAAAGTCCTTGTCTTTAATGTTTAATGTCATGACAAAACAGGGGATTTGGCAAAAAAGTCTAGAAAGGCTGGCTTTTTATCAGAACAGCTCTGGAGACTTACCAAGTAGACTAAAGTGAGTGAACATAATCTTAACCATCTAAGAGTTGTTTTGTTTTGTGCTTTTTGTCCCAGTTGGCTGAACATGCTGTTCCTAAATGCTTTGGTTTCACACATACACACACACACACACACACACACACACCCTTATTTTATTAACCTCAGTAGTAAACTGAATGCGATTCTAGCTGCAGCCGGTTTCTCCAAGTTTATGTGTAATTAGTTTGATGTTGCAAATTATACCTAATAACCCTAAATTCTAGGAAATATTAGGTATAATTTGTTTTTTTTAAAAAAGCTTAACTTTGTTCCTTAAAATTTCCATCTATTTTCTCTATATATTCCTCCCTTATTTACAAGTTAAAGAATTAAAATCTGCTCTCTACACTATCACGAGGTCATCATGAAAACATGCCATCATTTTTTGCTTTAAGACTCAGCAAAAAAACTTTTTTTTAATTTCAAGAATTGTCTCTTCGAAGTCTGAAAGCCAGAAACAGGAGTGTTTAACAATCGAAGAAAACTGAGTTGCACAAGGTAAAGTTTAGATTTAAACGTTAGGAGTGAAATTGGGCTCCATGTGTCCCTTGCTCACTTCAGGGCATAAACACAAAACCACACTACAGACTCACCCCTGGGTCTAAAAGTTATCCACAGGCTCAGCACCTCCCTTCCCCTCTATTTTGGAGGGGAAACTTGCCTTCTGTACCCCAAAGTTGAGATTCGCTACCCCACACGCATGTCTTGACAGGTGCTCTCAGCTTCCTTTTATCCCTGGCAGCTAATGAGACTTTTTAGTTTCTCAGAGCCAAACCCTGGAAAAGAAAATGCAGCTGAGGACCATCCGGATAAAAGGTCGCAGTCAGGGCTGAACCCCCCAAAATCAGAACAGAACATGCAACAGAAACAGCTGAGTGAACTGAATCATGAAAAGTGAACCGAGTTCCAGTTGCAAGCAGCTGCTTCCTAAGAATGGGCTTTGCAATTAGACAGAATGGAATAAATCGAATTTCCTCGTTGTGTATCCCCCGCGCCCCTTCAAAGTTTCAGCTTCTTTTCGTTCGAAGCCCTTGGAGCTTTTTCTTTATTGGGGATCCGGAGCCCGGTGCAACATACACGAGCTTCCCGTTTTACGGGATCACTTCAGAAAAATGGGGTCTTTCTCATCGGGAGGGTGCAAAGGAAATCTTGTGGATTTGGTTTGGGGGCAAACTACAGACAGCCCGGCAAAACCCTGGGGGTCCTTTAGGACACCCCGCAAGCCTGAACTCCAACTCCCATCACTCAAGGGCCCGTCTCGGGGTCGATTCGATGCCGAATTCAGAACCGCCGCCCGCCCGAATCCCGCCGAGGTCAGCGAGGAGGCGACGCCTCGTCGCCCCGGGGCAAGCAAGCAGCGTCCGGAAACGGCGACGCGTCCCCCGAGGCTCCGCGGCCCGAGGCGGGGCCCGGGGGGAGGGGGCTCACCTGCCGCCCCGGCCCCGCCCCGCCCCGCCCCGCCCCACGACGCCCGGGCGCGGCCCGGCGGGAATCTCCCTCCGGCCCACCCTCTCCGTCCCCGCCCCCCCCCCCGCGCCCCCGCGCGCCGGCTCGCCCCGCCCACCGGAAATGAGGCGGAGGAAACGCCACGTCGGAGGCGCGCGCTGGCGCCGGCGCGCTGACGTCAGGCTCCCTCCCGGCGGCAGGGGGCGGGCCCGGGGGCGGGCGGGCGGGGAGGCGGGGCGGAGGCGGGGCTGTCGGCGGGGCCGGGGCGCTCGCCGTGGAGGTGGGTTCAGAGCGAGGGGGACTACGGGTCGGCGTTGGGCTCAGCGGGCTCGGAACAAAGGACTCTCCCGTGCGGGGCTCGGCGCGACGCCGTGGGACGGGTGGCGGCGCGGCCGAGCGCGGCGTCTGGGCCAGCCCGCGCCGTCGCCGCGCGTTCCCCGCGGTCGCCTCCGGCGCAGTTCCCCACGGCCGAGGGGGGCGCCCGGCGCGGCGGCACCTGCTGCTGAAGGGACCCCGCGGCCCGCCCCGGGGGCTCATGATGGGGCTGATCTTCGCGAAACTGTGGAGCCTCTTCTGTAACCAAGGTGAGGCGGCGGCGACTGCGCGACGGGCCGAGGCGCGGGCGCCGCGGGGGGCTCCGGGTTCTAGGCTGCGGGAGCGGGGCCGGGGATCCTGCTCGTCCGAGCGTCCGCGGTGGGGGCCCGGCCCGGCCCGGCCCAGCGGGATGCACCTTCGGGAACCCGCGGGCATTTGGACGCCCCGCCGGTCCCTCCCGGAACACGCCAGAGCCTGGCCCTCCCTCGTCCCCGGGCCCCGTGTCCACTGGCCTGGAAACTGTCAACTTTGGGATTTTAAAAAAAGAAAGAAAGAAAATCGCCTCTTGCAGCCGGAGCTGCCTCGCGTTGGGATTTCGCCTGCTGGCTGTCTCTCTGTGTCTCTGCCTCACTCTGTGTCTTGTGTGTTTCTGTGTCTCTCACTGTGTTTCAGTCTCTCTTTCGCTCTGTCTCTCTGTCTCTCTCTCTCTCTCTCTCTCTCTCTCTCTCTCTGTCTCTCTCACGAGTGGTCCCGAGTCTCACCCCGGTTTGCAAAAATCCGCCTGCCAGACCCCTTACTTAGCCCTGTCCTTTTTTGGGGTGCTGGAAAAAGTCCAACGCTTTGGGTCTCAGAGGGCTCTTACGCGTTGGCAGTTAGACACCTAGAAGTTGTAAAACCTGTTCTGAGTCAGAATGAGGTGTGATGGTGTCTTCTGAAGAGAGAAAGAAACAGCCCTATAACGAGGGCCCTGGCCCCGCTGGTGGTGGGATGAAGTTGGAGGCATTCCTTTAGCCTAAAGCCCTTGAAGTCAGTTTCCCCATCACAGCTAGTTTCATTCTGCATGTACCGCACAGACCTAATCACGGACCTAATAGAGAGCAGTGTTTCGCGATGACTTTTTCACTGTTGATGTGGTGTCTTTTTTTTTTTTTTAACTTCTACTGGATCTAAGACACCGTGGGGAGAATGAAATGACAGCAATCTGCTTGCTCAGTGAACCGATAACACTAAAATAATCCCTGCTTATAAATACGGATCTAGGCAAACACACACGCAGATGTGTGTTTATCACCAGTGAAGGCAGTTATTTTCAAGAGGTTTGGAAGTGGTCCGAATTTTCAACTCCTTGTGCCTATTTATCCAGAAATTTTTGACATCATTTTTCAGCAGGTTTATTTTGTTGTTGTTCTAATTCTTGTTATAAGAATTTATCGCTGTAGAAAGCGATATCTTAAGATACACCGACTCTTAGAGAAATCAGTGCATCCATCACCTGTGTTTCTCAGTTTCCCCGTTGTTTAAGAGACTACATTACAAAGTCGTGGGTTCCCCCAGTGAGATTGGTCCTAGTCTTGCTTCTGCCCTCTATATTTTATTGTCACTCTTCAGCACTTTCTCTTTTTAAGGCTTCAAAGCTAGAAGGGAGCAGAATGTAAAGGGAGGGAGAAAGATATTCATAGCTGCCCTTACGGACTCGTGGTTGTTCACCCGAATCCATTAGTGTTGGGGATTGTCTTTTCCAAACTTCCCTATTGAAATATAGATCTTGAGGCTGTTCTGTCATTTTATTCTCATTCATCCATGCAAATAACGTTTAGTGGTAGACCTGAAGTCAGTCATCATAGTAAGACCTTGGAGATACAAGTATTAAAAATAATCAGGAAGTGGAACTGGAGTGATAGCACTGCAGGTAGGATATTTGCCTTGCACAAGGCTGAGCCGGGTTCACTCCAAAAAAAAAAAAAGAAAAAAAGAAATCTAAGAAATTATGATTTCTAAGAAAATTGTAAAACTGGGTCAGAGCAATAATACAGAGGGTAGGGTGTTTGCCTTGCATGTCGCCAACCCGAGTTCCCGGCATCCCATATGGTCCCCCGAGCACTGCCAGGAAGTGATTTCTGAGTGGAGTCAGGAATAACCCCTGAGCATTGCTGGGTGTGACCCAGAAACAAAACAAAAACAAACAAACAAAACAGTCCAAAGATACATAGCCAATCAAGAATGAGTAAACTGAGACAAACGTTGCTGTGTAAAGATATGTATAAAGTCGAGGTTTGACTCACATGGTTCCTGGAAGGATCAAGGTATACTTGAACTTTAATGATAAATAGTAATTGATAAAGTATGTCAGGCAGGCTAAGTAGAAGGAGCATGTTTTTCTCAAAAGAAGGGTTGATAATATGCAAATTGGAGACCTTAAAATCCCTTGATATTAGGAAGGAAGTTCGCAGTGGTTTGGCTGTAGAGGAAGAGGATGAGGTTGGAGAGGTGTCCTCTGTGTCAATCTTACAGGGCCTATATGTCACCCAAGACAAGCCTTAGGGGCAGAGGAAGAATTTGGTTACTATGCTTACAGGTTTCAAAGCATGGAAATATGTAATGTGAGCAGATTGCTGTCTTTGTCTTGCAGTCTAGCTTTCTGTGTCAACAAAATTAACTGTCAGTCTCAGCATTTTCGTTTTCACCACAGAGAGAGATTCTCAAACCATTTATTCTTGGATGTATTTAGAATGATAGTCCCAAGACCTTATCTCAGACCAGTTAAATTAGAGTGGTGGTCTGGGTATCAGTGCCAGGGTATTTTTCTGTGCAGGTAGAATCAAGAACTGCATATCTGTGCTCCTTACCCTCTCCTGCAGTGTTTTCCTAACTGGCATTCTCCCCAACCCTCCCCCCCCCCCCCAGCATTTTTAGAATACCAAGTTCTATAAAACTCATATACTCAATACCATTCCAGGAAGAGAATTTTAATGCTTTAAAACTATTTCAAGAGCCTTGAGGATAGTACAACTGGTAAGACGCTTGCCTTACATGCAGTCAACCAGGTTCAAATCTCGCCTCCACATATGGTACCCCAAGCCCCACCAGGAGAGATCTCTGAGTGGAGAGCCAGGAGTAGCCATGAGCACCAACGTGTGTGGCCCCAAAACAAAAACAAAAACTATTTCAAAATAAATAGGTTCTGCATTTTTAAATTTAATTTTAAAATAAAAGACTGTTTACTTTGGCACCTCTCAATGGAAGAAGTAATTCCAAAATTTAGTTATCTTTATATTATGTACCTATGTGCTTGTGTATATGTGTATAAAGTCATCATGTGTATTTTTCAAATTCACATAAGAATTTGAGCATTCTCTTTTTTTAAAAAAATCTTTTTAAAATTTTCATGGATGTCTGTCGTCATTGTACAACTGTAATCAGTTCTTGTTCTACTGAGAATTAAGGATGAATAAAATACTTGTGGAGGTGGAGGTAAGGGTGTTGAGTTACACCCAGCTGTGCTTGGGGTTCACTCCTGGCAGTGCTCAGTGGCATAAGTGCTACCAAGGATCAAACTCATGTCTGCTGCAAGCAAGGCAAACACCTTACCCACCACAGTGCTGAATAAAATACTTTTAATCATAGTTGATTTTCAAAACCAAATAACAGTGACTTTGTTATCTAATTATCTTTATTGCCTGAAAGCATTTTAAGACCCGTTATCCAATTTTATGGCATTGTTATTGAACATTCTATCCATACTTGTCTATGGTTCAGATTTCTGATAAAATGTCATCACACTTCAGAAAGACCTTTCTATTCCCCATGGTACTCTCGTCTTTTTTTTTTTTACCCTTTTGTGTCACACCCAGCAGTGCTCAGGGGTTACTCCTGGCTCTGTGCTCAGGAATTACTCCTAGCGGTACTTGGGGGGACCATATGGGATGCCTGAGATTGAATAGGGGTCGGCCATGTACAAGACAAAAGTCCTTCCCGCTGTACTATCGCTCCGGCCCCAACTCTCACTGTCTTTACTGTCTTGCTTTTCGGAATAAAGCTTATCATACCTGTACCCATAAGACTATTTATTGGTTCTCATGGTTCTTTTAATAAACTCTGAGGCATGAGTTATATTCATTATGTTTTCCTAGTACCAAAAAAAGTCTTGTTGAATTTTTTTAAAAACAAAATTTATATCAAAACAACATTCTCTTTTAAAAAATTGAGGGTTTTTTTTTCGGTGGGGGGGTTTCTGTCACACACAGGGGTGTTTAGGGATTACTCCTGGCTCTGTGCTTAGGGATTACTCCTGGGTGCACAGGGAACCATAGGGAATGCAGAAGGAATGCAGGGGATCGAACCTGGATCAGCTGTGTATAAGGCGAACACCCTGTCTGCTATACTTTCAGTTTGGACCCAGGTATCTTGTTAATTCCTTTCCCAGTATAGAGACATTTCCCTATATTTCTGAGAAATACAAATAAATGTGAAGGTCATACACTTCGAATTGCAGCGTTTGCCAGGGGTCACACTCCTAACCGGCTTGCTCACTGGGGCCCTCCTCTTTTTTGTGGTGTGGACACACACCTGGCTGCATAGACAGCAGATCATTCAAGCCCATCTAGAGAGAGGTGCCAGGCTCAAGCTCGATGCCTGTGGGACACTGGAGATTTGAACTTGAGAACTTATGCCAAGCACTCTCAGTTGCGATGCAGTCCCAGGAGGGCCCTCATTATTTTCACTCTAAAAGTTTTGTTCCTGCTGAGCCACACTGTGCTATATTATCTTTCCATGATTTCTTCAGGAAAAAAAAAAAAGAATTCTCCTGGAGTAAATAATGACATCCTCTTGCTTTGATTTTCTTGGCATATTTAACTAAGTGGTTTCACACTGTCAGAAGCACACTCCACAGGCTTCCCGCCTCTCACCTGCCAGGTGCTTTTTCTCTCTGCTCTGGCCCAGTGTTCCACCCTGCTCCTACTGGACCTGATACACAGCTGTTGTGGACTTGTCTTTGCTAGTATTCTAGGAATTTTCGTAACTCTTCTGTTTTATTATGACTTTACTGTTTGATGAAGCACATCTTTTTTTTTTTAATTTCCTGCAAAGGTATTCAAAAGTGATATGTTTTGGTGCTGTTCCAAGTGCCTGAAAATGGAAATCTCTTTACTTTTGGCTTACAGTCGAACTGGATATAGAGTGCTGAGTTGGAAAACGTTTCTTTGAGATTTGGTTTTGGTTTTGGTTGAGGGCCAGACTCAGGAGTGCTCAGCCCTTAATTGTGGATCTG